TTTTTAACATGGCAGTGAACCTTCGGCTTCCGTAATACGGTGTGAATTTGACGACCAAGGAGGACTTTATCTATCTATGGCTCTACAGCCCTTTGTTGGGCCTTGGTCTCTTTAATTTAGTTTCTTAATCCTATTTACAGTCGGTAGGACTCCTTTTGCGGGGGATCAGTCTGTCGCAATGCCGCTCCCTACACAGGACAACGAAAACAGACATACATGCCCTGAGTGGAATTCGAACTCACGATCCCAGCTTTCGAGGGAGCGGCCACTGTGATCGGTGAGCGGACTGTTAGCTTCTTAAAAAGATTTTGAACCATGGGATCAAATGGCCCAATGTCGGGTTCTTCTCTGTTGGTTATTTTACGACGATTATCAGTAGCTGGACCATACAGCGTCGAATGTTGGGATGATGACTGGACCGGAAAGTACTTCCAAGTAGTCGTTCTCCAAGCAGGACACTAGCCCAGCGTTTACTTGGAGGGACTGAAGAAAACTAAGAAAAATCCCGATCAGGGCGGCCGGTGTCACGACCGAGATACAGACCGAAAGCCTCCCAAATGTTATTCTAGGGCGTTACCGCTAAGCAAGCCCCTCCACTGGCGGACTCTCTTGAAGAAGAAGAGTTGGTACCCTAGGGATCCATAAAAAGGTGGAAATTTGTTGACTGCCCGAGCGACTGTTAATTTCTCACCAAGGAATTACGAATTCTGCAAGTCGCCGTGCAAATTTCAAGTCTCATAATGTCCTGTACCTTAAACTAACCTTGCACCGTTAGGTCTTGTATTCGTAGGTGGTGCACCTCCTCGTAGGTACATTGCTGCCTTCGTGTTTAGGGTAGTACTTCCTAGACGAAAACTTATGCAGTGTTAGGGCAGCTCCATAGTTGCTGGCTTCCCACCGCGGCGGTCCGGGTTCGACCCCGGGTCTGGTCAAGTGGGATATGTGGTGGACAAAGTGGCTGGGGCAGGGTTTCTCCGAGTACTTAGGTTTCCCCTGCCAATTTTCATTCCACCAATGCTCCACAGTCACCCTCGCCTATCATTTGGGGCTGGTACAATAGGCCAGAAGTGGCCGCAGTACAAGGGACTTAGTCCCACCCCACTAGCAATAAAAATATGCAGTGTTAGGGGGAATGAATCATCTATGAAAAGATGAGAAATTCCAAGGACTTTATAGTTGAGGAAACTGAAGGTAAGGAGTCATTTGGCAGACACTGGATTAAGAATAGATGGAAGGATACTATTGAAATGGACGAAAGAGAAATAAATATGGTATGAGGGCACCAATTAAATACATCTAATCCATAAGATCCAATTAAGGGTTCTTGAATCTTTGAGTTTCGTGAAATATACACAGTATCCTGACTAGCTGTGCGGCTGTGGCCTTCTTGACGCACTCAACGCGATGATNCTGCAAGCGAAGAGACCGTGAGAAGATGGAGGCGATACGTTCCTCCGAAACGTCGGTTAACACCACATATACACGGTGCCAAATCCCAGAAGACTGCTTTCTTCAATTCTTATATTTGGTGATTATCACCTTGGCCTTGGCAATTTATTCGGTACACAAATCTGTTCGTGAGCATGCGTACAATTTGGACAAAGCATCCACCGAATATTTACCCCCCCCCACACTCTCCTGACAACCATATTTTTGGAGTGAAATTCTTTTCACAAACTTGTACAAATAATTTGCTGGCCCGATAGTCAACATCAGCATGAAAACCTGCATGCAAATAGGTAAATAATTGCTTTACAGTCTGAATGCCTCTACGCCTGATCGCGTCACAACCAGCTTGAGGCCCAATATTGCATAACGGGGTCTTACTCATTTGCACACGTTTGTCCAAGACTCTTACGGCATGGTGACTTACCAGAAACTAACTTAACAACGCTCTGGGATAAACAAAGGAATTTTTGTGTTCAACAGCAGCAACAAACCAGAGACGGGAGAACGCAGTCTGTATAGCGATGGGATGTGGGGTGGACGGCCCCCGGGGTGCGATTTTCGGCAGGGGCATTAAATTGTTCTCTTAGTCCACGGCTACGGCGTCCAGGCTGGCTCTGGGGCCCACCAAGCATCCTATCCAAAGGGTACCGGGGGCTTTTTCCCCGGGGATAAAGCGGCCGTGGCGAGTACCTGACCACTCATCTCCATGTAGTGCCGAGGTCAAGATGTTTTCATGGCTTGTTGCGTAATTAAGCAATTAAGGTTTCTGAAACGTAGTTCATTTGATATATTACCTAGGCTACGAGATGGATTACCTAGGAATCAGGATTCGATTCCCTGTAGGGTTCTCTAGTCCACCGATCCTCTTAATGCAATGTTCCCCGGCTTATCTTTATCAGAGATACAGCGGCCGGGGCGTGAAACTCACCACTCACCCCTATATAACGTCGAAGCTAACGTGAATGGGGAATTGTTCTTCGTGGCTTGGACGAAGCCAATTTTAAGTTTACGTTTCTGGGCGTCTGCGCACAACAGTTACGTGCTCCTCTTAGCAGGATCATCATATGCCTTCTCATCCCTCCAAACGCCAACTGCAGACACGGCACAAGCCCAACCTCACACCCATTATAAATCAGCGAAATAGCAAAAACTTATTTTGCTTGTGTTTGCTTTACAACAGTCAATTACTACGCAACATAACGACTTTCAATCCATGTTGTTAGGTACATGAAGTATATGATATGAGTAATAACAAGGCCGTCTGGAAAATACATTAAAATGTTTAACATAAGCTGCACTTTTTTACGTTCTTCCTTAATTACGTATTGTTCTGTATTTCACAACAACAACAAAACACCGGTCACTTATCGCAACGGTAAAGTCGTCCTTAGGCGCCAACTCGGGTAATTACATTCCGCCTGCTTTAACATTAAAAAAATCTGCGTTTTGCCCACACGATGTACGTATCTTAAATTTTCCCGAAATATGAAGAGATTAGTCTTCGAAATTGACATGCGGTGTTTTTTTTCTGTGGTATAGTGACTGAAACAGGAAATATTATTGTATTTAAGCATCCTGTTGAATTAATGTAGTTTTGTACACATGTATTTCCGTCTTAAATGCAACGTATTATCTACACACAGAGCATTTAACAACATAACTAGTGCAACAGCGTGGAAAAACCTGCAAGCCAATAGAGCATATACAGCGCTGATAACGACACTACATCGACATCATGACGAACTGCACCACTAACGAGCATGTGCCCACACCGCGAATGGAATGCAGAGCGACTAAACCCAACAGCGAGAAATAACTCAAGCAACTATCTTTCAAATGAATGGATGGCGACAACAATGGAAATATCATTAAGATGTTAATTAATTTTAATTTTGACATCAATTTATTGCAATTAGGAAATACCGCGTATGAAGTGACAGGAGGTTGGAGAAAACTGCATAATGAGGAGCTTCATAACTTGTACTCTTCTCTAAGTATAATTTGAATGATCAAGTCAAGAGGGTGAGATGGGCAGGGCATGTAGTATGAATGTGGCAGAAGAATGCATATAGGATATTGGTGGGACAACCAGAAGGAAATAAACCACTAGAAAGACGGGTGGGAAGATAATATTAAAATGGATATTAGAGAAATAGGATGGGGTGGTATGGACTGGATTGATCTGGCTCAGGATAGGGACCAGCGGATGGCTCTTGTGAACACGGTAATGAACCTATGCATTCCACCAAGTGTAGGAAATTTCTTGTGTAGCTGAGCTCAGTGTAGCTCAGTTGCATGAGTTCCTAGACATTGCTCAGCGCTGCCTCAACACATCTCGGAAAACTGGATCTGCTTCCTTCCTCAGGAGATCTAACCCGAGTCCAATGAGTGATATTTCCTTGTAATTGATCTAATCGCTTGGCCTTCCTTTAACCCGAAGACGGAAACATTAATATCCGAAACTTTTTCGGAATACCAGTCGACTGACAAGGCCCAATCCAGACTTCCTCCTTGGTATTTGCGTATTAAACGTCTGACATTTTCAACTGAAAGGTTGTTTACCGAAGGCCGGTGCATCCTAACGCCTTGTTTCTTGCCAGTTTGAGTGATGCGTGTTTTATTATTGAATGCAGACACAAAAAAACAAAATACATTTGCAATTCCGGCTCTTGCAAGCAGCAGCACAATGACGTAAGGAGAATATGTCTTGCTTGCTACAACATTACATCAGAATGTGCCCATCAAGTTACATTCTCAAGCGGGACTTCGTGTTGGGGCAGAGGTGTATTTTACTGAAGGCGCACGCCACACAAACGGAGAAACCAGAAGCGTCGTTTCGAGACTCTTAACTCGATAACATGTCCCGTCCAGTGAAGGAGCCACAGAAATGCCTTCTTTTATAGGAAAACGTGGTCTTTTATTTCAGTGTCCCATCAGTACCTAAACAATTCTGAACCGGGATTATTAAAACAAGTTCTGGAAAGAACTACTCGACTATTTTCCGGTCCACCTCAGTAAATTACTGCTGGTCCTCGCCAGCACAGCCGTTCTTGGCTTCGGATCTCGTCAGGAACCACTACCAAACAAATGGGATTTCCTCGATGACGGAAGGGACTGGTCTCTCTTGCACCGCAATTCAGTACAAGTGCACCCGCAATCACACTCGCTATTCTAATACTGAGCATCTGCTAAGGCACGGACCGCATAGAAAAAACTGCGTCCAACAGTTCTTCTATTAAGAAGAAAGCAGTCTTCTGGGATGTGGCGCCGTGTAGTTCTTATATTGTTGCGTGTGTAGTCATTGTTGTGGGAACAGAGTCGCTGCCAAGCTACTGCGGTCTCCTCTGGCTCCACTATTATGGAGGCTCAGGCGTTAAGGACACACACACACACACACACACACACATACACACACAGCAAGGTAATCTCATATGCTTCACTGTTGGCCGTAGTCCTGTACGATGTGTATCTGAAGTTGTACGGACTTTGAATACTGTGACATGACGCCTGAGAGCCAAGTCCAATAATCGTGTGACCATTCTTGCTTGCAGAACGCAAGAAGCAGATGTCAGATGGCAGCAGTGCGGAGTTGTTCGCACGATCCGTGACACCAGAGAACACCAGCACTCCGTCGTCATCCCCGGCAAGCCCACGGGTACCAGCCCCTCCACGCCGCTTCTACTCCTCCATAACGGGGGGCGATGAACCGTACAGGGGCCACATCCCTACTCGTGCGGAGAGGAAGGAGTACGCTCCTGCAACCGCTCAACCCCCGACGGCGCCAGGAGCACCTCCCCCTCCTCCACCTCTCCCGCCGCCGCCAGCACCTCCCCGATGTCAACAAGTGTCAGTGATACAGCGTACACCAAAGCCACCGCCTCCGCCCCCGACCCCGGAGTCCCCCAAGGCAATACAGGAGCCAGAGCAGGAAGTCCCCATAGACTACCACGTCCCGAAGAAGCGGCCTGAAGAGCCTCCGAAACGATCTGAAGAAACGTCGAAACGACCTGAAGATCTCCTGCGACGCATCACTGTCAGCGTCAAGAGCCTGAGCCAGCTTAAGCGAGGCTGCACAACGCCCCTGGCACTTCTTGGAAGCAGCGCGCATCCACGAGCAGCGGCCGCAGGGCATAGCCGTGGAGGCAGTGGTGGAGGTGGAGGCCACCAAGGCGGTGGCAGCTCTCATCACAGTTCAGGATCAATGTCACAAGGATCCTATGGTGGTGGAGGTGGTTTGTCAGGTGGGGGTGGTGGACTATTTGGAGGTGGGGGTGGAATGAATCCTGGGGGTGCGGGTGGTGGTAGAGGGGGACGTGGAGGTGGACACTATGGACCGCACAGTCCACCAACAAAATCCCTTCCATCATTCCACGAATCACTCAAAGGTGGGGGTTTGGGGAATAATTCAAGTGGTGTGGCATTTGGAACTGGGTTTCAATTCATGAACAATGGAGGCGGTGGAGGCGGCAGTTATGGTATGATGCAGCTTCCAATGGATTGTGACACTGGACAGGGTCAAGAAGGAGGTGGGTTAGGCTATGTTGGAAATGGATCAGCAAATTCAAAACAATATTCACTATTACAAAATGTGGGAGCCTCATATGGACTTATCACAATTAAGGACGATGAAGATGAAGGTATTCTTAACTCAGCCAGTAGCTATAGCCAGTATGAAGACTCGATGTTTGTGGACATCGCAACGGGGGCTGTTGTAGATCCACTGCAGTTCACAGCTACCCTCACTTTCTCCAGTCCTGCAGACCAAAATGCTCTCCTCGAAAGCATTTCAGATGAGTTACTTCAGCGTATGCCATCTGGCATACCGGATAACTCAGACCTGCTACCGGAAGCTATAGAGAACCTCACCTCTTCCATTCCAGGCCCTATTGAGCCCGCAGTAGATCCGTTTCCTGAACACAATGCCCTGGGACTTGCACAGAGGAGCAACTATAATGACACATCACGCAACTTTGCTGCGCCGACACACTTCACGAAGAACACCATGTTCCTGAATAGCAGCAACAATAATTCTGACTCTAGCGGAACCAGCAACTTCCACAATCTTCCGAAGGAGAGGCCGGAGTTGGCTCTCCACATCTCCGGGACAAGCCAAGAACAACCCATGCAGCAACTGCAGGTGTGTATGGTGCTATCACACTCATCTCCTTTGCTAGATTTACCACGTAAGTTACCAGGATTTGTACTCTGACCAGACCTTCCTGACAGGGTACTGAAGAAATAAAAAAAGAGGCTTATGCAATTACCATGCTGTATGTCCCCATGTTCAGCCAAATGACTCACCTAAATTTGGTATGGATGTTAAGCAATTTGAGGATACAACAACCTTACAATCTTTTATTTCCTAACTAACTAAACGAAGCAAAGGTCATTCCTGAGAACTAACAACCACTCATCTGGTCATGAAATTCCACTAAACTTTGACAGAGGAAGTTCAATCCCCTGGAACAGTTGTGATTACAAAGAACTGTATATTTAATGACTGTCTTGCCTCCAACTAGTGCTAAGGCCAAGAAAATGTGGGTCTATACACCCACTTCCCCATGCACTTTCACCTGAGGGAATTACTTCCCTTACACTAGATTGAGGTTTACACCAGATGGGGATAATTGAAAATTATTGCATGGCACTTCAGTTTGTATAAGGTGTACTGTATATAATCATGATTTATAAGCAGTTACTTAATCTGCTTCTACCTTGATAAAAATAGTCATATTAATAACATTGAAGTACTCAGTAATGATTTCTGGCAGAGAGAAAACTTAGATATTGACTGTTGTGTTGACCATGGTCACACTAAATCACGGCATGAGCTCTGAAGTCTGAAATCTTCTTACACTACTCGTGGCTTATTTACTGAACTAAAAGAAACAGCCTTCTTCACAGGTTCTCTTTATCCCTGTTGTTGTGCTTAGTGTTGCCGTCCTCCCCTTCTCCTCCCTACATCTGCATCAAAATTTCCCTGGATTAACTCACTCTCCTACCCCAATAATGGAGGCAGCAGGTTCATCTGAAAGGTTGGTAATAGTGTACACGACTACACTGAATTACTTGCTCACAGTCACTGCAGATAGAACTTGGAATCTCTCACCCCCCAAAGTTAACTTGCTCTTGAGTTGTTTGCAAGTGTAATCTCTCCTGTAACTACTTAGGCAGAAGGATAAGCTGCTCTCCTTACATGAACAGGTGCAGGTGCAGATGCAGATGCAGATGCAGCAGCAACAGTCGCAGCAACAACAGGGACTACTGTCTCCTGACTTGAACTTCGCTGATCTTGACTCCCCGACTATGTCTCTCCCTTCTCCGGGCTGCAGTCTCGATGGGACAACGGGCTCCCTGTCACCTCCTTCCAGCGTGGGTGGGTGCAGGGACTCTGCTGGAGCTTCTGCAACATCAACAGACATTGCCAGCATCCCATCACTGCAGGTCCGAGTCAAAATTCTACAACAGAGGGTGAGCGGCAGTCAGCTTGTACAGGTCACAGCCGTAGGACACTTCACCTTGAAAGAACAGATGTGATCTACAGGTCACAAATACAGGGCATGTTACCTAGACATTTTTGTGTGCCTGAAAGATAGAGGTGATCAAAACATTATGACTGTGGTCTCCTGTCTTAGCATGCTGTGGTTTTGTCGGTGGTTACAAACATTTCATAGGAATTTGCTGCCTTCCGGTTCAGGGAACATGTGTTGGTAACCACCTGCAAGAAGACAAACTTAATTTTATGATCTATGAATTTCCTTGTGAATTCAGTCTTCTGGGACGTAACATTATGTAACAGATAGCCAGCAATGTTTCAGAGGAACCTGCAACCTTCATCTTCAAACTAGAATGGTGTACTGCCTGAATATGAAGACTGCAGGTTATTTATTTTTATGGTGTATTTAATGATGCTGACGGTATTTCAGAGTATGTAGTTGTGAATGTTAGGGCGATTCGCGAATAATAAATTGGAAACTGTTGTGGCCTAATTTAGGACACTGTCCTGGAATTTGACTTGACTGACTGTAGAAAATCATGAATAATCTCTGTCAGGACAGTCTGTGTCTAAGCTGAGACTCAAATCAGGAACCTCCTAAATACAATTCAGAAACTTTACTGCCTGAGGCAGCTTGTTCATTGAATAGGGCTAAAGGGCACAACTGACATGCAAACAATATTACTGATGAGCACAACTGGAATCTAGGAATGAAGGTACGCAATAACTTATGGTGCTATTCACTTCCAGCCTAAGAAGACTAAAGAAAACGACATTAATATCAGCAGACAATGTGATGATTTGGGCAAAGATGAAAAGTATATTGAAGACAAACCAAATTAATTGAAAATTATTATGAAGAAATATAAATTTATTTATTTTGGTAGTGTAATAAATTTGAAAGGGAGTGTCAATGAAGAGATCAATAGAGAAATACAAAATAACAAAATTTTATCAAATTATAGAAGAATAGTATGGAACAGGAATCACAAAACAACGTATAACAAAAATTTGTACATATATTTTTAACTGATGAAACACAGGCCCTTCCGACAAACAAGAAAAAGGAAATCAAAAGAATGTACCTAACTTCTTAGATGTACCAAGAGGGGACAGAAGGACAATTTTTAGAGAAATCAGAATTTGGAATTTCTTTATATATATAGAAGAGGGGACCACCTCTGTGGTCTAGTTGACAGAGTTCCTGCCTGAAGATGCAGAGGTCCTGGGTTCGATTCATGGCGCTACCAGTTTTTCTGAGAAGTATTGGGTCTGGAACGGGGTCCACTCAGCCTCGTGGGGACAATTGAGGAGCTACTTGAATGGAGAAGTAGTGGCTCCGGTCTAGAACACTGAAATTAACGGCCGTGGGGATCCGTTGCGCTGACCATGCAACACCCTCTATCCGCAAAAGTTGGTACTAACTTCACGCCAACAAGCAGCGGTTGCTCGGTCGGTATAATTCGCTTGCGGACTAAAAGACACACGGAGTTCTTTGTTGATATAGAAAAAGAGTGATTGCAATGATCTTGCCACATCTAGAGAACAGACTGAACAGGGATTAGAAGAGGAGCATTGGAATTAAAATTCAGAGAAACCTATGGGATAACCATGAATATGACGGCTAAGCCAAGTACTGGAAGACAACATTTTCCATTATAGGATCAGGGGTTGCAACAGTTGCAACTGCTGGAAGTAGCTGAATCTACTTAACAGTCAGACAGTCAACAAACGGTAACAACTCAACTGTTACGAAGAGCAAGCAGCATGAGAAATGTGGAGTTGGCCCTGTGGTGCCCAGCATTTGGAAAACAACTAGGGAATATAATTTGGAAGACAAATTAGTAGAAATTCCGATTCAAGGTACATACAGACTGGTTGGAAAGCATTGGCCTGCTGGGATTTTAATTAATACAGTGAAAAATCGTAACAAATGTTTGAATTGTCAATCAATTGTCGAATTAGATGAATGTATAATAGTTAAATTTGCCTCAAGATATTGGCACAGTTTTTTTGAACATCTCTTATTCTTTGATGTTCTTTGGTTGTTTTGCTGTAGAGATGCCCCCACAGGATGAAGTCAAAAAGCAGTGTGAGGTCTGGTGCCCTAGGTGGCCATTTGGTAATCATCCTGATTCCCATGAGGCTAGTTCACAGAAATCCCTGCAGAGAACAAATTAGGCCATCCTATACATATGTATGGAAGTTCTTGAATAGCTGCACAATTGGTGGCATCTCAAGAAGGGCTCAGCTCCATGAGTGATTGTTTGATAGATTGTTACATATGAACCTCTCATTTCCTCATATCCTTTCAGTGTAGCTCAATTAGATTGAAAGGCAAACACAATGCTGTGCCAGTTCAAATTGAATGCTAACACTTTCAAGCTGTATTATTTTGCAAATAAAAATGTTTGATATGTTAATGTTACTGAAACATAATCTATGGACTCTTTAACAATTAAATTAGTAATTTTTGTTACTAATCTTTAAGTTAAAAGTCCAGTGTAACGTCTCAAGAAACTTAAAACTGACAATATAATTTATCAGCATGCCCACGTAACTTCTTAAAGAAAGAACTGAGATCACCAATATATAATCTATGTGGAATTCACAGTTTCCTTCACAATCATACTCTATCTATGGACAAACGAAATATTACTGTAATCTTAAATAAAAGATAACACATAAAGATTTCATGGCTTTTCTTCAACTCAAGGCATATGTTAGGATAATTATACATCCTGGATTTTAGGGCTGGGAATTGGCTATCTTGACAGGTTCTTCATGGGTTTCTGTCCCTGCAGACAAATACCAGGATGGCATCACAAACAAGGCCATGGCCGCTCTGTTATACATTCTTTAGAACTGAATATTCAGTAATCATCGTATCATTCTGCACCATGTCTCGAGTAGCTGAAAGTGGCATCAAAATAAACAACAGAAAACTTAATTTTTGCTAAATTATATGAGTAAACTGACCTGTTGAAATAATTTTGGGGGGCTGCATTTTTGTGAATATCATGACGTGTTTCTTGGGGGGGGGGGTAAAACTGAGGAAAATAGCGGGTTCTAGTTCGGATGATTGGATTTATTAGTCCCTTGATTACAAGTTCTCTTAATCACACTTAAATACAGTGCTTCATAATTAACTGATACTAATAAGATCACAACTTCTAGCATGCCTTTTCTAATATTCTGGCCATATTAGCTGACGTGGATAATCTAAAACATGATGTACATAATCTGTTTTCTTTCATGTCCTATGACTTATAGAGAATATTTTCTTGTTTGTGTGTTGCCAGCTTGGTCTGCCAGAAGAAATTCCTTTGGAATTTGTTAACGGAGGACACGGAATCAAGAACCCCCTCGCAGCCCAATCTGAGTCAGCTCGTGGTGGCAGCAGTAGTGGAAGCAGCAACAGCAGTAGCAGCAGCAATGTGACTGCTGACACAGACACGAAGCCCACTACAGGCCCTGACGATGCAGTACGATACGCCTGCAAAATGTGTTCCAAATCCTTCAGCCTCCAGCGCTTACTGAACAGACACATGAAGTGCCACAGTGACATAAAGCGCTACCTTTGCACATTCTGCGGCAAGGGATTCAATGACACATTCGACCTCAAGCGGCACACGCGCACCCATACAGGTTAGCACACTATAAACTTCCAGAGTCAGTATGTGGGCAATGTGCTGGACCATGGGTTCGGTACCAAGCAGGTGCAGAGGTTTTCTCTCCTCCATGGCAACCACACTAGCTGTGTCATCACCCACCCTTTCCAGTGGGTTCCTGAGGAACTTTCCTCGGGGAGAATGTGGGCAGAGCATGAAGCTGACCACTAAACTATCTAGTTAAAAAGGGCTGGAGCCATACCTCCACAAAAAGACTAAGGCTCATTGTTGGTCAACTCTAGCTGTTACACTTCTAGCATGAAAACTTTCTTGTAAACAGCATGGGAAATCAATCTAAACACCTGAAATATACACGTGCACATGAGTGACGATTCCTCTAACACCCATGCTTTTGGGGGCAACCCAAGTCACTCTCCTCTTGCTTTCCCTCTTTCTCTCGCTCTCTATCTAGGTCATCTTCTACTGGCTATCACCTCAAAGTTCACAATTAACATGGATGAGGAACTGATATCAAAGACGGTGTGTTAATCGTTGTACATGAGTATGCTCTGGAAACTTGGCTTACTCTAGGGATTTTGTTCTTTGTAATAACAAGGGGTTGGAAATATTTGGTATATCATGGCAAAATTGTATGGCCATTAAATTAATTATCAATTGATGTATGACTGCAGGTGTGCGGCCTTACAAATGTAACTTGTGTGAAAAATCATTTACGCAACGCTGCTCACTCGAATCACATTGTCTGAAAGTACACGGGGTTCAGCACCAGTACGCATATAAGGAACGTCGCACAAAGGTGAGACAAACTGACCTCTTTCATCTGCTATTGTAACTTATTTACCACTTACATAATTTAGAAGGACAATAATAATGTAACTGTCTGTCCGCATGCAAAGGGATCTACATTACATTTTGCCATGCTAATTTGGTTTTGTTTAACGAAGAGCTGAATGCTATTGTGATATTCTGTTGACAGTTCAAGAAAAAGGGAAGTTAGGTTATTTCTTTTTTGCAAGTCTGTTGTTTAATAAAGTGAAAACATTTCATCTATAAAGCAGCAACATACAGTTATTCTATCAAGTGTAGCATATTATCATAAAGCCTATCCTGACAAAACTTTCATTTTTTTATTGCTAGTGGGGTGGGACTAAGTCCCTTGTACTGCAGCCACTTCTGGCATTGTACCAGCCCCAGATGATAGGTGAGGGTGATTGTGGAGCAACTGGTGGAATGAAGATTGGCAGGGGAAACCGAAGTACTCGTAGAAAACCTGCCCCAGCGCCACTTTGTCCAACACAAATCCCACTTGACCAGACCCGGGATCGAACCCAGGCAGCTGCGGTGGGAAGCCAGGGACTAACCGCATGAGCTATGGCGCGGCCCTAAAACTTTCGTGTTACTGAAGTTAGGGATTTTTAATTAACTTCCTTTTCAGCAATATTATGTCGAAAGTTCGATATACTTTTTTGTCTTTACTTATCTGTATTTAATAAGGAAGATTTAAGATATAATATTTGATTTATGTGACAGATGTACGTTTGTGAAGAGTGCGGGCATACTACGAATGAACCTGAAGTTCATTACATACACCTTAAGAACAACCATCCCTACAGTCCTGCACTACTGAAATTCTATGACAAGCGGCACTTCAAATTCACCAATTCGACCTTCGCCAACATGCTGCTGCAAGTCAGATCCTGAATTTCAAGACAACATAACAGCAGTATTGAACAGACCTAAGTGCAATCTATGTCAACATGAGACAACTACCGATGAGCTAAATTATAGCCACCTTAACTACAGTTTCAGATGAATACAATAGCTTGACATTAGTTGAGTCTTGAAACCATAGATGTTCACACAATTAAATCTGAAGTCATCTGGGCTGTGATACAGTGTAGTGCCATTAGCTAATACCAAGATTTCAGAGCAATGTGCTGTCTCCATCTTCAGGGTTGACGTATGTATTTTCAGGAATTGTATCGGGAAGGTTGGGATGAAGGTGGTCATGTGACCCAAAGAGTGGTTGGTAAAGAAAACCCAATCCATTCCCACCGGACAATGGGCGGTGAATGTATCTTATAAGAGGCAAATTTGTTTTTTGTCACAGGTGAGAAATGGAAGAGTGAGAAAGGAGACCTTTTGTAGGGATTCAGTAATGTTAAGAAGGAAAACTGGAATTGGCCCACATTTAGTTACTCTCTTTACCACCTCTCTCTAGATCACATGACCATCTTTCTCACAACTTACCTATGTTAGCAAGATAATTTCTGAATCTATATATTTCAAACCGGAATATGGATGCGGGATATTCTTCCAGGCATCAGTAACCATCTATAAGACTACACATTGTCAGGACCCAAAAGACTATAATTTCAATAATCAAGCCATGAAGAGATTTCATGTATACATAGCTAAATACATGGGTTACTTCAAAAGTCATGGCAAATATGTTTTTTTGGGCAAACACGTTACAGTGAAGAAAGTTCAAAATATACTTATGATAGGGCATGATATACCCCTCCGATTGTCTTAATCAGATCAGGTAGATGTGAAATGGCATAGGTATAGTAGGCAAGAAAAATTGCACATTACGGAATGACTGTTTTTTTCATTCTTTAATCCTCAAAAAATTCAATTGTGATTAAGAAATAAAAAAATTCAATGTGAGTTAAATCTGAATTCTTACATTATGACCAGCAACCTTCAAAGTAGTCTCCAAGCGTATCTTGGATCACGGGTGATCACAGCATGAGAAACATCGGTATGAACGGTCACAGGGCGTCCACTACGTTGCAAGTCAGCATTTGCTTCTCTTCCACGCTGGAATGCTTCTATCCACCTTGCAACAGTTTTGTATGGTAGAGCACGATCAGCCAGAGCTTCCACAAGCTCTGAGTGACATTCAGTCACATTTCTGCCGCGAAGCACTGCTATTTTCACGTAATAACGCTGTTCCGGCCGGCTAATATTCATTCTTGACGAAGGTTATGATCACACTGACTTCACGCTGGACTCGGTTCGTTATCCTTGGACTTTCACATCATTAGAAATCAGACATTGCTGTCTCTCAGCGGCAAATTTGGAAATTCTGGTTGGAGCTTTCAAAATTTCGGAAAAATTATGTTGCCATGACTTTTGAAGGAACCCACGTAGTTAATCAAAATACATGACATGTAATCCACCATCACTGTATAAACATAAAAATAATTGACATAATGGTCATAGACAACTACTTTTAAGATTTTGTTTTAAAGAAATGCTGGAACAAAACAAAACCACTGGATACTGACAGGTGATCCCAGTGCTCAAACAGTGACCATGACAATAAGAGTGAAGGTTAAGGAGTATACAATTAATATAAATGGTTATGGACTTCTGAATATAAAACATCTCATGGTTTCAAAGACTTGATTAGCAATATGTAAGAGAGACCATATTTGGGAGAGTTCCCAAAAGTTGATTGGTTTTAGATAAATAGTTTAGTATGTATTCCTATACAAAATTTCCAGTATAAATTAAATTCTCTATGCAGTAAATTCTCAATTCTCTGCAGTAATGGCAGGAAGAGGAAGCATCAATAATTTAAAACAATGGATAATTGCAGTTCCATATTCACCTGAATAAACGATGAGTTCTTTTTCAATACTTAGGCATTTGAAGTAACAAGAGTTGTCTTACATTCACATATGAGAACATTGCACCAAAGCCTGTTTTTAGGTTGAGCGGTGTGGGTGTCTTGTACCGTCTGTGTTCCTTGGTTCAAGATCAAGAAAGAGTGTTTGCCAATAGGTGAAAGCAACAGTGTAGTACATGGTTGAACCGTGGCTGCAATATGAGCCTCCGATGCCAACAGAAGTCTGAAGAACAAAGCTTTAATGCATGCATGTGTTAAGTCTGCAATTATTTGCACAAGAGCAGAAAAAGCAGTGTAACATGCTAAAAATCACAGATGAAAACTTTAAAGTTAGAGGTTATACAGTATCACAGATATTGATAGGTAAACAGTTACAAATGTAAACATAACGTATGTGGAAGAAGCCACTAACAGCAGTACAGTGGAACAATTTGGCATTACATAAGTAAATGTGTGACATAAGAGGAAATTAAGAGAATAATAATCACATGCCTGGTCCACATGAACATCCTGAAGTGTCGAACTGCAGATTCAGAGCCCTTGTGAAATGGAATGCCGGACCTACTGCAGTATTGATAAAACTGTCTCCCCCACACCCAAAATTGAAATTGGTGGGAGTCAGGTTATACTTGCATAAATTCAGAACCTACCTAATGAGCTTTCAAAGTATGCATCCTGTTGTGTCTTACGGTACTTTCAAACGGGGCAATCAACAACAACAACAACAACAACAACAACAACAACAACAACAACAACAGTACACTGGAGTAAAAAGGAAGTCACTGGAAATTTGAATTGGATGCAATGGACAACCCACACTGTTATAGAAAGATATAATCAATACCTTACGGCTTGTAAAAGTTCTGCACTTAATGTGCAAAGTATATTATCCACTGCAGATAACTGAGAGTTTACTACAGATTTTATAAATGGCTTTATCAGGATTTAATACTTGTAGGTATGTGTGACAATATTAGAAAAATCAAGCGAATGATGTAGAACTACTGAAATTTTCATTGGATTGTTATTGAAAATATTTCAGTGGTCATGTTAATAAATGTTAATTCAAACAGTCTGAAAGCCTCTTACTGGTAGTAATATGAGGGTCTGACAAATTGCATGGTGTGAGAACTTGATACAAGAAATTTCTGCTGTGCACTAACATACCGATGTTGCGAGGGTTAAGGGCGGGATCTGCACAGCAGTGTTGGAGATGGGGTGACACGATGTCCAACTCTGCATGTTGAAGGTGCGAGTTACCTTGACAATGCACGACAATGGGGCAACAGGGATAAGGGGTGAAGGAGGTCATGGTTAAACATATAGGTTAAGATAAATTATTATCAAAGAACTGTTGTCAGCATTCACATGGAATAGAACCCCTAGTTTAGGAGGGATAATAATTATTAAAGATGGCATTCAGTGTAGTATAATACAATATAAGACATCTGAAATATGAACAGTTTAATAGCTGAATTTTTGTATTCAGTTTTGGTTGTTAACTGCAAATAAGCTTCTGATTATGAATCGGGTAATTTGTGCAATCTCGTGGTGGATGAACCAAGGTTCATTTCCAGTCCAGAACCAGTGAAAGAACTCCCCTTTGCTGGATGTGTATAGCAGTATTGTTACTGGCACTTATATATTAATACGTGACCCAGGTAACTAAAAGTCATCGCCATGCTGTCTGCCATGTTAGTGCTCCAAACCATGGAAGTTTATCTGTAAAAACAAACACAAGGACTAACTTTAGATAACCTTCAGATATTTTTAAAAAAAACCGAAAGCCTAACCTTGTTGACCTGTTGGGCACAAATTTCATGGTTCATTTTTCAGTTTTGTTTTCACAAATGAGCTTGTAGGTTTTGCAGCACTAACTTGGCAGACAACATGGCGGTAAATTTTAAGAGTTATTTGGATTACCCATTGATATGTGAGTACCTTGTTATTTGTTAAGATAATTCACTAATAATACTGTTGTTAAGAATAAATGCTGACCTAAGATACATTGCAGAACTTGGTGGTTTGTTGTTAGTCACTGACTCAATAAAGGTGCTCTGTACTATGGTTAAGTACTTTGTCAAATAGCACACAATTTGTAATATATGAAATTAAAATTAGTATTTTATGGGTCATGTTTAGTGATACTGTTGCATGATTGGACAAAGTTACTGCAGTTTCATGCTCACCAAAGACGTGTACATTTTACAACTGTTTGTTACTTCAATGCATTTCAAGCACAAGTTATGCAGATCATATTACTACTAACATAACTGTGGAATCACATAAGTTTATTTTTATTTTAAGAGCAACACTGTAATGTTCTTCAGTAGGACTGGCAGCTCAGACATGTTTCAAGCATGTGTTCTATGACTAAGAAGGAAGGTAATGTTGAACAATACAGTGGCATTGAATGTAGCATTATGGAACACTGGTCTTTGGTGATGCAAATTGTTTTGTTAAATATATTTGCACATAAAGAATCAATTTTTTGCATCCCCTCTCTAAGTACTCATGAATATTGCATGTTTATGTACCTGGCCATGCATATCCACACCTTTCTTATCATGAATCAGGGATATAACACCATGAAAGGAACAAGCATGAACCTGCAACAGACTGTTTAGCTGCCATTGCTTCTATCACATACATTCAGAATGGACTGAGTCCCTCCTTTGTATTAGTAGAACTCCTATGCTTAAACTTATCACACAGAAAGAGCAAAACTTGGCTCCAGCAGCAATTCTACTGAAAAGCACTGTAGTAACATGCAAATTAAATTTGAAAAGCAGAGATATAGACACAATCAGTGCTTTTCCAGGTTATAACCACCAGCATGCGCACTGGCCAACAGCTGCCATCTATGTCATTTGCAAAATATCCTGTACCTCTCCCCTAAAGAAATAAGACTCGGGCATCAGCAAGGGATGTGTGCTGGATAATGCAGATCATGTGGACGATAGTAGTAAAGAAGATAGAATCTCAATGGCACTGAAGACATGTAAAAAGGTGAAAGGTAAAGTTGTCCCTGTGCTCAATTAATTAAGCACTATGCCATGAAGGTGTACGGAGAATAGGTGTATAGATCAACATTTATTTGACCTCGGCACTAGCTGGAGGTGTGGTCAGCTTCACGGCCTGGCCGCTTTACCCACGGGGAAAGAGCTCCCGGTGCCCATTGGATAGGAAGTTGAGTGGACCCCAGAACTGGTCTGGATGATAAGAAAAGAAAATTCTTGACCCTTTCGGGGCTTGAATTCTGACCCCTCGGTCATCCAACCCATAGCCAGTCGCTATACTGACTGCTATCACAGCTTGTAGTGGAGACATGTCACGTGCCAAAATGTGTTTGCTAACAAATTGAAGACTTCATTGTCCTCAGGTCTTCATGGCTGGAGTTTCATGTGTGACTTTCTGTAGAGACAGATGAAGGCTGAGTGCAGCCTGCCTTCACCAGCCCTTCCCCCCCAAACACAGCACTGAAGTCTCCTTCCTATCCATACTGGGTGGTGGATACAAAGGAGGAGAAGGTGGCCTAAACATGGGGCACTGAAATTTTCTGCTTCCTCAACCTTCTATCAGATCACCTGGTTGCCAGAAAATGTTTGATCACCTCATTTAATTTACCAAATGGTCGCTGAAATATTTTTTCAGTACCTCTTTACACTAACCACATGGACATTCCTTGCTGCTTAGCATTCTGCTCCTCTATTCATCCAAACACGGCTTCGCCCCTGGCCTACCTGTCCCTGTAACAGGCTGTGGACACCCACAGGGTTGAGAGACATCGAGGCTCCCACATTTTCTGAAAAGTCAGTCCACAGATTGAAGTGAGGTTGTCAGTCTCACATGCCAGCCACCCCTTTACTCTCTGAATTTTTCCTTGTACTCATTTCTGTTAGAGGCTGTTGACCCCAGGAACATAGTGTGGCTGGAAGGGTTAGGCTTACTGAAAAATCCAGAGACCTCATTGGGAATCGAACCCATGACCTTCTGGTTTGTAGCATGTCTCAACCCACTATACTGCTTGCTGAATCAGGGAGCTAATAGGAGCTGCCAAAATCATTAACCCTATGTTCAGGCAATCGAAAGGTTTGCAAAAATTTTGGGAAAGCCTCAACATTGGACTCAACTTCATCCCATAAGCCAAAGCTGCACATTAAAGAAGTTACATTTACACGTAGAACATTTGTAATGGCAAGATTATTGCTAATGGAAAGAAGCGAATAAGTAGAGAGACCTTGCATGAGTATGCAAGAACGAAGTGGGACACTGTAAAGTTTCACTTTATGAACTATGAACTTTTACAGTTAACAGAGAAGGAAGGAAACATGTTAGCACCCATGGCCCGGTCATCAAAACACAATTTTCCTTCTTCTAAATAATGCCAGAAAGCTTAAATATTTATTTTTGAACAGTGAAATGTTAGGAGAATTGAGATTCTCATGGCAGTTATGGTCTGATGGACTGTGGTATCACATAGTTTGGTATCAGGTACCAAAATAAGGGACATTTCTGGGTGGACTACTATAAGACAGACGCAACAGTTTCCTTTGAAGCAACTACCAAACTACATGGAACTGTATCCCTTAAGACTGTAACTTATAATGTAGCTTAGTTCAGAAAACTTTCTTTTTATTCTTCAGTAGTGATCTGAATATGACAGGCTTCAGAGTTGTGTTCTACAACTCACGATATACATTCCTATAATATGAGATATCATTAATTTATGTTTTTCATGCTGTCAAATGTTCCATACTCTTGCTGCAGCTGTGAAAATTGTAATATAAATAAAACTTATAATGCATGAACCTATTACATGTTAGTGCAAAGCTTGGTCTGGATGTACACCCAGACAAAGGTGATTATACATTCATGTCTCACCGGAATGAAGGAGAAAATCAAAACATAAAGGTTCAAATATTTGGAAATGACACTGAAGAAATCAAAATTACATTCATAAAAAATTAAGACCAGATTAAATTCATGATTTGCTTGCTGTCATTTCTTTCAGAATCTTTTGTTTTCTCATCTGATGTCAAGAAACATAAAGATTAAAATATACAAAATTATTATTTTTCTTAGTTTTGTATATGTGTCAGGCTTTGTCTCTTCATGTAAAAAGAAGAATATGTACTGAGAGTGCTTGGGCCTCAGGTCTGGTGTGGGTGCTGTAGCAATATCTACTCCTGCCAGGAAATGAACCCCATTCTCAAACCATGCAGCACATAGACCAGTAACTGACTGACTGAGCTACCAAATTCATTTACCATGTGATGTACAGAATTCAGTTCCATCTTCTTAAGACTTTGGTACATGTAACTAATTTAAAAACTTCTACTAGAGACAAAAGAAAGATGTCTGGAGATATAAAAAGGAATCTCATTTTAATGGTCCATGATTTAAGGATTTCTCATATTTATTCTTCCTTTCAATTGCCCCGAGTGTTAAATTTCCACCATTTAGTATTCAAATCTACTGTCCCTCCAAAAAGCCTTAATTAGGGGTTATACTGCATGTCAATTGAATTAAGTTCCTGCTGTACCATCTACCATAGGAGCTTCGAAATTCCCATAGGTCTTCACTTTACAATTACTGAAGAACATGACGAGCATGCAAATGCAGTACACCAAAAGTTACAACTCTGCCCGATATGAGAGTACTAACAGCAGCCATGCAAGGATGAAATTGGTTCTGATGCACTGTGTCGTCATGTAGGGAGGGCTTAGTACATTAGTTCAAACTGTAAACTGATATTTCTACTTTAGGTTTAGTCAGATTTAAGTTCTTGTTATAATTATTCTTGTTACTTTGTTAAGAAGCTTAATTTTATACTGTGACTCCTAAGTTCATGTGTATATATGAAAATGTATTGGTGTGAAAATCTCGCTGAATTCATTCCATGCCCCTATGTCACAGTGTGACTATGGGGGTGCTTCTATGAAATTAGGGTACTTACATATTAATGGGCAATGCTAGTTACTGTGCCACCATTTTGCTTGCCATGTTTGTGCTTTAAACAGCGTAAGTTTATTTGCAAAAGCAAAACCAGAAGCCTAACCTTAGTAAGTTTTAAAATATTTTTAAAAATTAAACCAAAAACTGATTTTCTTCAAAATGGAACTAAGTGCATAACATCTCAAAAAACAAAACAAAAAATCTTGTTGGAGGGAAATTGTAAGCGTAGGTTTCGGGTCCCATTTTTACCAATAAACTTCTAAGGTAAGATGGACAACATGGCTGTAACTTTGGGTCTGCCATTAATGCATAAGTACCCATATTAGTAAAATAATATTTATACTATTTTAATTACAAACCAGTATTCTCATCTAATTTAATAGCCCATTTCATTCTGTCAATTATTATAATTTTTCTTTAATGCAAGTTGCTTTCATTTTGTCTCGCATGTATGTGTTTCAAGAATGTGTGAGTGTATAATATGGCTATTAAAATAAAAATATTTAAAAATAATTTTTACATTTTAATTTGGACATCTTTATTCTGAATACAGATATCCCTATGACTCGCAGGCTTTGAACTTTACAGATTTTGAGTTCATGCAAATTTTGTATGAATATTTTTATTTAACCCCTTGTGTAAGGCCTGCTGCTGGACATGGAGTGTCCATTTTCATCCACAATGTAACTCTTTCAACCAACCATTTTCTTGTAATGAAGTACAGAAATACAGAGAAATTATGCATAGCCATAAGCCATAAGCTTTGTGAATGACATAAAAAGATGACTGGATATTGCTTGTTGCTTTCTTATTTTGAACATCGAAGCAGTAAGCTCCTCCAAAATGCCAGTAACCATCTACAAAACTTCACACCGTCACATGCCATACACTGACATTTTACACAATAGCCTCAAATCTAACATGGTACTGCTATTCAGCAACTTAATATATGTATTATGCATATATGTACATGTGATTTAGTTATTTCGTTGTAGGGAAGCCATGTATCTTCCACGCCTGGGGCTATAAAAGTCAAAATTGCAAGAAGTAAATACACTAATACCAAAAATTAAAATTGCTTTTAAAAGATTATCTCCTGGACAATAAAACATCTTTTGTAGAAGAGTACTACTATCTTCTGGGATATAACGCTGTCTAGACTGTTGAAAGTCTACCGACGTTTCGGAGGTACATATCGCCTTCATCTTCAAAGATGAAGAATAAGACAAGCAAGATACCAGCATGAAACGTAACGCTGGTTGACTTTTCAATGGACTACACAGCGTTATATCGCAGTATTCTTCATAACCACTTCTGTGAGAACCTCAAATCCTTCATAGTCTTCTGCAGTTCTCTACACAAATATCCTGATCCCCCCCCCCATCCAAACTGGTAAAAGAAAAAAACAACACTGATTGCGATCACGAATTTAATTGAGTATTTTTTCATTTTTCGAGTACATTTTTCAATCCCTTTAAGCACTGATGCAGGTATGTATCGATGATTTTTGATATGCCAAGGTCTGGAATATAGTTACCTGATAGCTTCCAAAACATCCTTGAAATTAATATACTGCAACACTGAAGTTGCCACCACACTTAATGTTCTGCGCTTAGTAACAGAATAATTAAACGATGCTGCATTTGTATCACAAACACTTTTGCCAATAGTTTCTCAGTGACATCAAGTAGCACCCGTCTCTCAGAATAATGTACAAATATTTAAGCGAAGTAGAATCCGCAACGGAAAATAAAATAACTACAGACCGAACGATAAAATAACTTTGGTTATTTCTGCTGGACACTAAAGCAAGTTGCATGCAAATTAGAAAATCTTTTCTGTATTAGCAACGTTTTGCTAATTAAAATATACATATTAGTAAATCACAATAAATGTATTGCAAATTCCACGACATCGTTCCCATAGAAAATTGGCGGTAGAAACAAATTCGCATCAGCCATTCTCGAATTCATCGTTACAAATCACGTGCATCACGAAATCACGAATGATCACGAACACGGACTACAGTTATTACGTCGATTAAACCACGGGAATTGGCGGGAATTAAGTGCTACAAAAAAAAAAGGACTTCTAGGGTATTGAGTTGAGCTTTTATTCCCACAGAGCTAAAGAGGCCGCAGACGTAACAGTACGAATATCTCTAAAGATGTCACTACTACTGTGGCCAAATTCACACTGACGATCGCGTTTGTTTCTCCAGGGAATGACAGAAGTGACAACGTGTATGTGAATATTGTGAACGTTGTGAAGTGATATGAAGTATGATGACACGTATTTGGTGATAGGTTATCTAAGAAATAAAAACAAAAATGCAAAATACTGTAGAGTATCGTTTAGATGCTTTACATCAAATATCTCAAAGAAAGTTAGGAGAAATTTTAAAAAAAATTCCAGGAAAAAAGGAATTAATAATTGACCCTGTGCTTATGAAACCATTGGAATGCATAACCGGAGTTCAGTTTTTAAGGTGAAATGATTTATGTTGGTCGAATCTTAGCTTAATTTTAAACTCGTGATATAGGGATCAAGTACCTTACAGTGATATATGATCTGTTGGCATCAATTCAGTGAAATACATGAACAGTATGTAGTCACTCATTACTTGACTCATTAAATGTTATATTCGCGTTCTGTGGATTTAGCGACAATGACATATTTGTTTTGTGGTGTACGTAAAAAGTAGTATCCTTCACGTGGTATATTATATAAGAAATAAAATTTGAGTTATGCATCTCCGGTGCTATGAAAATAATACAAATGATCTACATGATTCAGTTGAACCTATTCTTGTATTGTTTCAGGTCACATGGTGTCGATAAAATATTCAAATTTGAGAAGAGTGGGGTTAGTTGCGTGAACTCACAGTTGGTTTACATGATTTATTCTGATCTCATCACAGCTAAATATGTATGCAATCAGATAAATGCCAGTATACATCAAAATCATCAGAATAGTTATAACCTTATTTTAGTTCCAAGTGACCTCGTGGCTATTCAGCAATTATTGGAAGAAGAAGGAGTACATGGCATACTTACAGTTCATATCTTCCCATGGGAATTAATAAGATTAGATGGTGGTGTCATGTCATATGAACTCCCAGGTTTATTTAAGATGTTGTTTGTAGATGGAGATCGATCTATGCTTCCAGCTGTTGCACGTTCCTTGTGGTCATTACAGTTGCTGCTTGGAAGGATACCTTTAACTCTAACACAAGGAAGATTTTCTTTGCAAGTTCGAACAATGGTTGATACTTTGTGCAATGAATTGGGGACTTCAGACAAAGCAGATTCAGATATAAGTTGCATGTTAGTAGTTGACCGTGATGTGGATTATGCTTCTGTTTTACTGACACCTGTTACATATGTTGGTCTTCTGGATGAGGTGTTTGGCATCAGTAGTGGTACTATAGAACTAGACAGCAGAGTGACTGGCAATCAAGATGGTGCAAGAGAGAAAATAAATTACCAACTTAGCAGCACTGATGCCATATATAATGAAATCAAGAATAGACATTTCTCCGATGTGTTTCCATTTCTTAGCAGTAAGACCAAAGAAATGCAGTCAGAATATAATCGTAGCTGCAATGTGGCATTGCAAGAAATGAAGCATTATGTGGCGACTGAGCTACGGAAAGTTACCGCTTTGAAAAGGTCATTAGCATATCATATTGGTGCATGTGAGGTGATCATAGGTGAAATGGGACATCGGTATGAATCTCTCCACCAAGTAGAAAAGAACATGCTGGAAGGTAGGAATAAACGAGAGAACTTCAGTTATGTTGAAGAATGTCTTGCGACATCTGGAAAGTTGACATCATTGCGTCTACTGTGCCTCTTGGCCCTGACACAGGATGGGCTTTCTGTGGATGAGGCAACATTGCTTAAAACTCAGTTCCTGCATTGCTGCGGCTATGAACACTTGGTTACATTTCATAACTTGGAAAAGTTAGGTCTGCTTACTCCACAAGGTATGGGAACAAACCCAGGCAACACATCTTCTGGAGCAAGTGATGCTGCTGGCAAGTTGGCAGGTCGTGTGGCACAAGTCGTCTCACAGCTTCCGAAACGTACTGGTGCATTCCAAGCATTTGCTTACAAACTCAAATTGTTTCCAGAAGCATCAGAAGAATATGACCTGAAGCAGCCAAAGGATCCAGGTTATGTATTTGGAGGATTGTATGTGCCTGTTGTTTGTCGACTGGTTAGCCTTCTTATCAAGAAGGAATTATCACCAGAGGAAATTGTGAAACTTGGCCCAAGCATTGGTACGACCAGCTGGGCCAAAAAACCTGGAGACTGGGACATGAATCGTAAGTCATTTCTAGTGTACTTTGTGGGTGGAGTTACTTATGCTGAGATTGCAGCTTTTCAGTTGCTTGAAAAATTAACAGGTGCACGGATTCTTGTTGCTGGTACATCTATAATTAATGGCAATAGTTTAATTCAAAGTGTGGTGTAATAATCATCTCCCTCCACCAATAAACCTTTCACTGCTAACTTCAAAGACTATTGAACAGTCTTCAGTACTGAAGGGATTTTGTTTTGCAGGTTACTGTTATGTATGGAAAACTGTAATGTTTATTCCTTGCCAGATTTTATTATGAGGATGGGATGGGTTTGACATATAGCATCCAAGGAACCAAAGAAAAATACATAAAAAGCTACAACAAAAACACTCTGTGGTTTTAGTCCGCAAGTGAACTATACTGACCAAGTTACAATAAGAACATCTGAAAGGAAGAGACCGCTTCAAAGACCAGGAGATAAATGGGAAGATATTAAAATGTGTCTTGAAGAATTATGATGGGTAATGTGGATTGAATTCATTTGGTTCAGAAAAGGGACCAGTACTGGATTCTTGTGAACACTATAATGAACCATTGGGTTCAGTGGAAGGCAGGAAATTTCATGACTAGCTGAGCAACAGTTAGCTTTTGTAGAACTCTGGTCCATAGAACTAGTTATTAGTTAAAATTTAAATACATGTAATTAGTGCTGTATTATGTAAAAGAAACAAGGCACTGGAAATCTCTCATGCATTTAATACAGCCAACACCAGTGTGTTGCCCCTCCCAAGACAGTAAAGTAATGGCCAGGATTCTAAGAAGCGATTTTGCATTGTAACAGCTGTGATGGGTTAATAAATTTCCAATAGCAAACGAACACATACAAATGATAAAAATCACTTGAATCATAATACGATCATGGGAACTTCTCAAAAGAGATACAGGAAATCATTTTTCACATTTATACTTTTGAAACAATTTATGGTCACTTTGGTAAAAAGAACATCGAAGTTAGATCATATATGCTTAGGTATTGATATTCTTAATTTTATGTGATTCCCAGAAAAATGCCAGTCTTCTTCTAGCCGTTTATGTTTTATACCGGTTGATGGGCAGGATGTCTCCAACCTTTCTTCCCACAGTTTTTCCTTTTCAGTTTGTTGCCAGTTCTTTCCTCTCTTGATGCCTTCAAGCACCTGGCTAAACCATCTTGTGCTGGGTCATCCCATAGCTCTCTTTACTTTAAATTTTAATTCTAATGCCTGTCTCAGTATCCTTGTTCTACCCATTTTATCTACATGACAAAACCATTGTGTCTTCTAATTCTAGAAATAAATTTTGAATTCTATAGACTATTAAGTGAATACTGGCCTGCATTGTTAACCTCTAGACCACTGGATTTTTCAATTGACCTAATCCTTCCAGCCGCACTATGGCCCTGGGGTGGACTCAGCCTCTAACAGAAATGAGTACCAGAAATCTTCCTGGGGGTAGAGTGTAGCCAGCATGTAAGGCCGACACCCTCACCACCATCTGTGAGCCGATTGTTTAGAAAATGTGGGAGCCTCAATGTCTCACAACCCTATGGACCTCAACAGCCTGTTACAGGGACAGCTTTACCTTTTTTTACTTTTACTTATGGACTATTAAGTTTGAATTCTATCCCTTCACTACATGCCACAGTATTGTAGTCTTCTGGGTTATGACACCGTGTAGTCTGGTAGTTGGGCAGAGCATTTCATCTTCAGAGTAGAAGATTGAGGCAGAGCGTTCCTTTGAAATGTTTTGGTGTCCACTTACCAGATTGTATGGTGTTACGACCCTGAAGACCTCAGATGTTATATATTAATACAGAAATGTAATGAGTGTATTGTACATATAAAGTAATACGGCGTGTACTGACAGTTCTTCGGAACGAAACGTGTATGAAATAGAGTGCAGTAAAGAAAAACAATGGTTAAGTATTGATGGAGTAATTTATTATATTTATGGAGGTGGCAGTGAAAGTGGAAGTTCCAATGGAATGTTTTCCAGTACATTTTTATAAAGTACTTCATAAGCTGCAGAGTCAACAGTTTTGAGTAACTACACGGTATAATGACCACTGCAGAAACTTTACAATATATAGTATAAAGTATAATACTCTTTCTGCAGTAGGTTTTCTGGGATGTGACACCATGCAGTCTGGTAGATGTTTCAGATGAGCCACCTCAGAAGCCGATGTTCTACCAGACTATGCAGTGTCAAATCCCATATAACAGTTGTTTTCATAATCACAGGCTCATAGCCTCAAATTTTGCAAAGGAACTGAGGCTCATCTAAACTGTGAACCAGAATGTAACATACAGTAACCAGGAACCAGCCAAACCAATTACAGACATTTCAGCACAACAAGCGTGAGGCAACTATCCACTTGCTGTAGTGTTATACCAAATTTAACACTTCTTTCAACATTATATATAGCTCTAACAACACTGTTCTGCTTTTGTTTTTTTTCAATCACTAATTGGTACCAGGGGCTTTTTCTTTGGGGGGGGCAAAGGGGCTGGATTGTGGAGAAGACCACCTCCATCGAGTGCCAAGGGTGAAAATGGTGGAGTTATACCTCCACTCCCCACACATCTTCACAATGTGGTGCTTAATTAATTAAGCATGGGGGAAACTTTACCTTATACCGTACCACCAGTATCAATCAATATGTACAATAATTTGAGGAGATTATGAATTAATAATTATATATATCATGGAATAAGTCACTGATGAAAACAAAACTTGTCAGGTATGTTTCCTAGATGTGGAGATAAATGGGTTATGAACTATGTTGAAATTGGTTTCCTGCTGGCTGGAGGCAGACTGAAGGAAATGGCGCGAACCGGGCATCCAGACACCATGCCAGTGTTACTAATTCAAGGCCTCCTGAGAGTGAATCACCGTATATTTATCTACACTTGAACTTGCACTCATGGAACAACCCATTCTGTTCCCTCTGATAAGTCACAAAAATTTGTTATGACCAGCAGAGTATATGAAGGAGAATTATTCAGCTGCAGATAACACTAGATTATTATATGACGATGGATGGTGCCATCTGGTTTGTGCTTCCAACTCCTCCATCGCAGAATCATTTACAGGTGTCTCTGCTGGTACTACAACACCTTTGTGTGGGTCTGCAAGAAACAGAAATAATGTTAGTACAGCTGCTGGTACAGAAACATCATGTTCTGTACAACAACTATGTTATATTTCCTGTTCATTCCACAGTCCTGCCATGATCCCTTGTGTCAGTGCTCAGCACTGCCTGTCTCAAAATGGCACACCATGTTAGCAAATGGGTATTTTTTCAGAAATATTTTCAAAGTACTTTTCATCATTCGCAAATATAAAATGGCCCATAATTTTAAATTTTAAATAAAAAGTAAAAGAATTCCTTATCTTACATTTGGATAAATACAATGTATATACTTAGTAAATAAATAAATAAATTAAGTATATCTACAAAGCTATATACTGCACTTCATACAACCCAATTTCATCTTTACACCATACTCGCCTTTAAGAATTTTGCTGACTGTAGATGAAGAAGGTGTGCCCCCTGTGACACTCCCACGACTTCCTGATACAGATGAGGGTCCCTTATGCCCAGTCAAACCTTTATTTGTATGTTCTTCCCAATGACCATCACCACTTGTAATCACTGTTTGCAGCTACAACATGCAAATTGTGATTCAACACTTATCCATGTAAGATTTGAGATTGTCACAGCAGTGACTATGAAGAAAAGAGTCTTCTGGGATGAGGCACCATGTAGATAGTGCAGATACGTTCCTCCGAAACGTCGGTTACACAATATCTACACGGCCCCACATCCCAGAAGACTCATTTCTTCAACACTTAACCATGTTTGCTGCCTCTCAGACAGTGGATGCTGCACTGTATAAGTATTTTAAAAGTTTTGAGGGCTACCATGACACTCTGGACATACAGTAACTTCTCAAAATGTGATTCATAAATACTAACATTGCAGCAGAAGCAGTTGGAAAGGTGAATTCAGTCTGTTCCACTACCAAACTACACAGTGTCACAACTCAAGACAACCACAACAGGAACCTTTGCCACAGTGAAAACTTCAAATCTCACACAAGTTATTAGATGAGCCATGTCATGTCATGTAAAACAAGACTGTGAATATAAGAGTTCTCTCTTCTGGGACATAATGCCATGTAGTCCATTGAAAGAAGAAAGCTGCTTTCTCCCTGCTGGTTTCTTACTGGGCTTAATCTTCGACCATGAAGATGGATGCAACAGCCCCCTGCAAAATATAAGCTGACTTTCAGCAGAATACACAGCATTATATCCCAGAGAACAGACCTCTTTCATAACCACTGCTGTGAGAACCTCAAATCCTATGAGACTGTAAATACATATGGGGTGCTATCGGTAAGTTCCCGGACTGGGTCAAAAAAGAAATGCTGGCATAACTTACTCAATTTTGTCTGTCATCTCCTTCAAGACAGTCTCTTGGGAACGTATACAGCAATCTCATCATTTTTTCTACGCTACAAAAACAATGTGGAAGTCATTTTCCCTATTGTTGTTTAGTACTGCTGGTGACTCCCTATGGATGTCTCACACTGTTTCAAAATGTCGATCCGTCAGTTTCAGTTTCAATTTTGGAAACAAAGCGAAATCATGGGGAGGGGGGGCTAAGTCCGGTGAGTAGGGAGGATGGGGAACAATAACCATGTTGTTATTAGTTACAAACTCTGTGGTTTTCAGGGATGTGTGGGCAGGTGCATTGTCATGATAAAGGAGCCAGTTGTGGTTACACCAAAGTTATGGTGTTTTTTGTCACACACTTTCTCTTAGGTGTCTCAAAACATCACAACAGAAGTCAGAGTTGACTGTAGTGTTAGGAGGAACAAATTCACGTTGAAAAGAACGTTGTTGAACTCCAGACCTGCCGTGCCTTTTTTGCTCTTGGTGATTGTGGGCTCTTCCATTGGGATGATTGTTGCTTTGTTTCTGGATCATAACTGTAAATTCAACTTTTGCCACCCATTATGATCTAGAGATACAAGTTGGGTCCTCATTAGCCTTCTCCCGTAACTTAAAGACACGTTTATGCACCGCTGATTTTGATCATTTGTCAAAGAGTCGGGGACCTAACTTTGCAACAATGCGGCGCAGGTTCAAATTGTCTGTGAAGATCTAGGAAACTTTATAACTGATCCCAACAGTGTCTGCGAGCTCATGGATTGTTCGGTGATGGTCCTAACGGATGAGTTCTCAAAATTTTTCAACATTTTCTGCCGTTTTGCTGGTGCTTGGTTACTCTGAACATTTGCCATCTTCAATTCACACTCAACAGTCCTTGAAATATGAATAAAGGTAAAAAAAAGTAAAATTGTTCCTGTGCTTAACTAATTAAGCACTATGCCATGAAGGCATATGGGGGAGTGGATGTACAGGTCCAAGTTTTCTAGACTTTGGCACTAGTCGGAGGTGGATCTTGAAACATGCATGTCATTCAAAAACTGCTGTCCAGTTTAAAGAATGTTCTCCAGAAGCCTCATGAAGCATTTCAAGGGTTTCATTAGCAGGTTTACCAAGCTTCACGCAAAATTTGATGCAGAAACAATGCTCAATTTTTCCATGCATCACAGAAAAAATGAAAAACAAAGTCAGAAGAGCACTCATGTAAAAACAATGTGTGTTCACAGTGCAGTGTCACGTAGCAGACTGATGCAATAGGCTTGTGGAAGTGTGACCTTGGCCTTCCCGCTCATCATTTCTGCGACTCAGTTAACAATGACAGTCTGGGAACTCTTCGACAGCACCTCGTACAATGTGCACTTAATAGACTTATTCAGCAGAGGAAATTATAAATGACGTGTTAAGAGTCATACTCTTAACACAAAAAAAAAAATATATATATATATATATATATAACACGTGCTTCTCACGGAGCACAATGACAAAGACTATAGAAACACAGTGTAGGATAAATACAAGTTTAACATCTGGTTCAAAGTTGTAACCTATGAAGGTGCTACATTAAATGAACTGAACAAATCTCACCCACATCCTCACCTGAGGTCAGAAACAGACCCAGTTTCTGAAACGATATGTTCTTCAGTGCTCTCTGGGGTACCAGACGATGGACACAGCCCACAGAACCCAGTTATCCTGGTTAAGACTCAAACAGAACACCTCTCAAATATGAGTCTACCTGTACAGTGTTAATGATGCACAAACCTGTTTAGTGATGAACTGTTATTTAATGTTCCCTTTTACTTAAGCCAAAACTCACCTGTTCGTCCATGGCTCTGAACTGCCATGTCCACTGTGCATTGTACAGGAAAGGTCGGTGGTCATAACGGTTGTCATCAGGTGAGTAGCTCTCAGCGTGATATGCAGGGGTCAGCACCGTCATCTTGTGCCTGTTGATGGCATAACAGCGGAAGAAATGTTTCACCTTGTTCGAGACTTGCTCTGGAGTGCAGTCTCCACGCCATGTATGAATAAGCTTGCAGAACATGGAGTAGGGTCCACATTTATTCTGTTTGCGGAGACGTCCAAACACTGACAACTCTGCGTATGTCATACCCATATCTTCTTCATCTGTTTGAGTGAGGCGGCCACCTTCGAGTGGTTCAAGTTCAGCAGTAGGTGGAGCTCCAAGGATTTCACTTAGTACTGGCAGATTAAACCTAGAGACAGAGTCAGAGAATCAATTAATGGAAAATGAAATTAAATTAGTACATCATTTTTAAAAGATGCCAGGACACCATTCAGCCACAAGCATAAAGTTTTGTTCTATTTTTACTCACTTATCCCAAGGAACTTTTTTAGTAATTGAACTTCTGATTTTTGGGAGTTACACTGTGGGCATGTTCCCCTTTCTTGACAGTTCTGATGATAACTGAGATGTTAAAATGTTTACATGTTTGTGTTAATAATATCTACACGGTGCCACATCCCAGAAGACAGCTTTCTTCATAGTCACCGCCATGAAAACCCCAAATCTTATAAAATGTTTACATGTTTGTGGAATTTAATTGCTGAAAGAAGAGGAGGCTGAACAGTCCTAAATAAATTATGATAAAATAATTGGAATATTAAGACAAATTTTTGAGCAGTGAAGGACACACTGCTGAGATTTCATTCTGCAGCTGGCAAGCAAACACTGCTGTATGGTAGCAGACGCAGATTCTGAGCAAATAAAATGAACAATATAGTCAGGCAGCAGAAATGAGATTTCCCTGATCTTCATTTGGAGTAACAAGAACAGGCCACGTCCGATATGAGGTTCTCATAGCAGTAACAAAAGAGGGGCATGATCTTCTGGGTAATAACACCATGTCATCTGGTAAAAGTCCACCGATGTTCCTCAAGAAGACCATGCCTAAAACATTTGAGAGGAACTTGGGGAAGCTAGTATGACCCACAAAACTGGAAAATGTTAAAAATAGAAAGTGTACATGAACAAGACAGCAGGAAGTTACTATAGGATTCTGACGATGGTGTATAACACACTGATATGTTGGGATTTTGGACTTTATCCATCGTCCTGGTTTTTAAGATAACAAATAAAAACACGACGTTTCGGAAACTGGATCTGTTTCCGTCCTCAGGTGAAGGAAAACACCTATTCAGTTGGGTCCCTTAGAAAGAGCTAGGATGGAAACAGATCCAGTTACCGAAACGTCGTGTTTTTATTTGTTATCTTAAAAACCAGGACGATGGATAAAGTCCAAAATCCCAACATATCAAGACAGCAGGAGACTGTCCATCCCGGGGAGTAATGGCGTGCCTTTCATCAGAATAGTGAATGTAGTCATAAAAGTAAGTAAGGTTGTCCCTATGCCATAAAAATATATGGGGGAGTGGATGTATAGATCCACGTTTTCTTGACCTCAGCACTAGTTCGAGGTGAGTGGTCAGCTTCACACCCCAGCTGCTTTACCCCCCAAGGAAAGAGCCCAACGTACCCATTGGATAGGAAGCTGGGAGAGCCCCAGAGCTGGTCTGGACGATGTGGGGAAGAGAAAATTCTTGACTCTACCAAGACTGGAACTCTGACCCCTCAGTCGTCCAGCCCACAGCCAGTCACTATACTGACTGCACTATCCCAGCTCCCGCAAATGTAGTCATATGATGTAAAAATTATGCATTTTACATTTCATTGTGTAGTATGATCTTTCTCAATTTAAGACTCACTTGTTCTTGGCATAAAGCAGGAAGCTGCGTAGATCAGTTTTGGAGATTCCTCCAATGGGATTTACATCTGCACTTGAGCAGTCATACTTAGTCATGTAACCACGTAATGCTTCGTCCACATTTGCTGACCCCAAAACTAAGAGACCTCCTGAGCGTTTCCGAACCCAAAGCATCAGCTGGGCAAACAGGTATGCTAGGACCATACGTAGCCGAGCCTGCAGAAATAATTTCCTTTTTCATTCCTGTAAGTGCCAAGCACCTAAAATGTCAACCTGTATAAAAGCGTTACATCTGACACGGTATGGTGTCAGTTTGCTTTTATCTGAACTACATAGTCAAGAAATATTTGGACGTAAATTTCTCCCTGCATTTGAAGTGTATGTGGAGAATTTATACACATTTATTCATGAAAGAAGATAAGGTGTAACAACTTAAAATTACAGGTGGGTTAAAGCACAGGAGGACACATCACAACTTTCAGTATTACAGGTAACATGCATTTTGTAACCTCTGAAATACTAGTCTTTACATACATAAATATGATACCCTACCTGAACATTCTGCAATGCAAGGCTTTCCCTAGCACTGCCACCCCTAGAGGCAAATCTTGGAACTAATCCTGACATAGCAGTGAAAATCCCAAGTACAGCAGACACTGCCACATCAATACTGATGGTCATATGGTAACTGGAGACACAAAATTCTTGTTGTAATGTTTCAAAATATCACAGCATAAGAACTGCCAATTAAATGATATCTTGAACTATGTACAGTGTTGGGAATATAGGGTATCATTCAAACCTGGCCAACTTCAGAAGGTAGGCTATCTTACACAGTACAGTGAGTTACAACTTGACAGGAGTCTTATAAAAGTGGTACACTTTAATGTATCTTGTCAAACATCTTATCAAAACAACAGACGTCTACCTACTGCTATAATTTAGTTGTCAACATTACTGGATCTTTCGGAGTAGGATCCAGTCTGCTCTTACACAATATGTGAGAAACAGATCCAGTTTCTGGAACACAATGTTTATCAATATACATTGGACAGTGGGCAATGTCCAACATAGCAGTCATGTAATGAATCAACTCCTGTCACAAAACTTCAGAGCATCATAAGACTCAACATAACAGCTCACCTGCCAATCTGCTCAGCAAGAGACAATGCACGTTTCTTAGTTTCTTGCGATGAATTTTCACTGCCCATGTAGCAAGTAACAAACAAGAGGCCACATAATTCTCGTGGTTCCACTGGCACATATTCCCCATCACAGACAATTCGACGCACGTCTGACAGAACCTTACAATCTAGGAAAATAAAAATTATAATATCAAAACTTTAAAATCAGCATTAATTCAATGAAGCAGCTATGTCAAATATGTGGGTACTTGTATATAACTATTTGGTGTCTGGTTTTGGGCATTACCTTTGTAGATAGCAGCACAGGAAGGAAGACAATATTAGAAACAAGGAATTTAATTTGCAGAATCATCCATAGCAGGACCACAGAAGGAAAGAATCTGATATGAAAACATTTGGAGCACATCACTGATACTCTTAAGTCCCTAGTTTTGACAGTAAAGGTCTACTGGACATTATCTATAACATGAAATGATAAATGTCACTGATTCACCGTCTTACATGCAACACATAACAGGAAGAGACACGCAACACAATGAAATGCACGAGCTCATAGATGGGACTATACATTGAATATTAGAATAACACAACAGAAGCACAGCAGTTTAAACCAACAATTTTACACACCTGATGATGGTCAATGTCAGCCAAAACATCTAATGCAATGTACAGAAGCTTTTAAATAAGGTGTAAAAAACACATTATGCATATGTACGAAACTTTTAAATAAGTTTTCCAAAAATGTGTTTCATGTAAGATGGTGAATCAATGACACCTGTTGAAGTGATGTGCAACGGGATGCCACAACATAGTATTACATAACAACATGCTGGCAATCTGGAAGAAAGAATACTTTATTATCTAAATCAAAGTTCTTTACCTAACACAGTATAATGCAGCAATATGAAATGTGCCTCACCGCATTTAACATGCCAAATCATACTGTAAAAAAAAAAAAAAAAAAACATTTACACGAACTTATCTGACAATGTTAGAATAAAGTAACAGGACTTCTAATCACATGTGGTTTAAGCAATAAAATACTAACCTTCACTGTTTGAGAATAGGGGATTTTAAACATCACAGTGTTATGGGGTTAGTGGCAAAAGTTTTATCTTCTGGGCTCTAACACTGCATAGTCAAAAATGGCATTCTGAAGGAACATGTCATCTCCAAATTTTCAGTTCACTTTAACCACACAATAACATGTTATGTTGCAGAAGACAGAACTCTTCACAACCACTGATGTGAGAATTCAGTCCTACATTTGGAGTAACAATTTATCATCCAGGAATAGGGAATTTCATATCACCAGGTACTGCAAAAAATGCAATGCCCTGCCACACAGATGACATCCATGTTCTGTTGCAATAGTGAAATAGAAGAGTTGGTAAAGGTTACAAATGTACCACAAGCAAGGCTACAGTCAAGCTAAAGCAGTGCCACTGTGCTGTATTCAGAACCAAGGTATCAAGAATGGCTTCATTTCATGACATACTCATTTCTTTTGATGCTGAGGCATGTGCTAGACTGCCCTGGTACTTTTAGAACTATGCCTCTTTATATAATGGATGCTCAAGCTGTTAGTCGCTGGCTTCCCACCGCGGCGGCCTAAGTTCGATCCCAGGTCTGGTCAAGTGGGATTTGTGGCGCTGGGGCAGGTTTTCTCCAAGTACTTTGGTTTCCCCTGCCAAACTTCATTCCACCAATTCCTCTACAATCACCCTCACCTATCAACCTATCATCTGGGGCTGGTACAATAGGCCACAAGTGGCCGCAGTACAAGGGACTTAGTCCCGTCCCACTAGCAATAAAAGAAAAGCAATATATAATGGATGTAGGAGAAAAGTGTATGTGCACACGTATAATATATTCCCTAATCTTTTGTGCTTCTTTACATCTCTAGACCTCGCATTTGACTCTAATAAAACCATACTGATTGCTAAACAAACCATGTAAATGTGAAATAACTTGCAATCTGCATACCTTCTGCTATAGCAACCATTATAACAACATATTTCTACTGTACATCCTTTGCCAACATTTTCTCAGAATAAATAAACTCTCCACATCTCAAATATTTATAGTTGTCTAAAATTTATATATTGTAATGCAATTAATAAAAACAGAACAGTGACTCCTGACAGCCTTTAATGCATCTACTTATGCTGATGAATGGTGTTTGCAAATGGAATCATTGTTTGTAATAATCAACTCACTCCATATGGATAATGGAGAAGGAAGAAAATCATCTGCAGTTTCACTTCTAACCATCCACTGATGTTATCTTTCACTAGATTTCATAAAATTTTGTCCAACAAAATGAAAGCGGCATAGACATAGATAAGGCAATCTTTCACATCACCTTACAGTATCTCATTCATAAACATGGAATGAACATAAATTTGACTTGCCTCCCCTCTGAATGGCATCTACAACCAGATGGCACATCGAGAACACAATACTGGCAACACTGGAAGAGTCAACGCCGCCACTCAGTGGCAGGAAAAAACCACCCTGACCGGATCGTCTTAAATGGAAAAGAAAAGTAGAAATTTTATATATTAACAGCATTTGAGGATATTTATGCTTCAAAAAAGATCCGTAATTTCAAGGATTTAAAGCACAGAACTCTCTTTTAATTTCCAAACATATCACTCTGCATTAAACATCAAGGGATTAGACATTTAGTCAAATGTAAAATGACATATCATGAATTTAGAGCATTTTTATTTGAACACCACACTTTTACCACATAATATATGGAGCTTAGTTTCAGAGGATAATACAACACAGAAAATAAAATATTTTCATTATTAACAATTTCTTGATATCCTATTCCTAATCACATTGCAACACATGAATTATAATGTTCACTGTGTCAGTTTCCTTCATCACAGCTGCCACATTATATTAATTTTTTACAATATAAAATCTGCAAAAGTAAACATTTTAAAAGTACAAAATATTTCATACAAAGTAAGACAAGTGATTCTGGATTTACAATTCATTAGTTAAGTTTGATAATTTTCCTATTAGGGCTACAGTCAAATGCAGCCTTACAGCGCACGCTAGATTATGGTAATCACAGCTGTTGCAGACTTAACATCTGTTTATTCATTAAGTAATACTACACAGAGAACAGATGTGTCCACTGATATTCACGAAAAATATTCTGCTTCATCATATCTATCCATTTTCTGTTGTTTNGGGGGGGGGGGTATTTTCTGATGCTGTTAGTACCCAAGACTGTACAGCATCAATGGCAGGGTGACTGATGACTAATGATATGCAAAAGATTTAGAAGAAAGGGATCATGGTCTAATCAAGGTACTATCCAAACATTTGGCTGGAGACAATGAGGAAAGCCACAGGACAGTCAGTGTCCCAACTGAAATTCAAACCGGACATCTCCCAAATATAAGTACAGAGTGTAATCTCTAGACCAACCTGTTCGGCTGTTACTAAAATACAGAAAATCTTAGCCCATTCTCTTTATGAATATTTAGCATGTCAACAATGCTTTGTTATGTGAGATAATCCCAGCCCATTCTCGTTATGAATACTCGGCATGCCAACATTTCTGTTACCTGAGATAGTCCCAGAGCCAGCACGCTGGACCTAGGGCAATTTCTTCCTCAGGAGAGTGATATAACCATTCAATTGGTTCACATGTAGGCAACCCAATTCCTTTCTCAGCTGAGAGGGAAACATCTGCTTGGATTCGAGGATAAGCAGGCGATGTGGCTGCAAGGTGTGAACGTGAGCGGATGGCATTGCGATATGCACGGATGTCTTCCAGATCCACTGTTGCCACAACTACTTCCTGCGCACCATCAAGTCTTACTTACTTACTTACTCATGGAGCTGAGTACTTCTGGAGGAGCTGCCAATTCTGCAGCTACTCAAGAATTTGCCAGCATTTTATGGAACCTGAAGGTTCATTACTGTGTTCACAAGAGCCCTTCACTGGTCCCTATCCTGAGCCAGATCTATCCAATCCATACCATCCCATCCTACCTAAGATCCATTCTAACATTGTCCACCCACCTATGCCTTGGTCGTCCCTGTGGTCTCTTTCCTTCTGGCTTTCCCAAAATTTCCTGTATTCGTCTCCCACATTTGTGCTACATGACCTGCCCACCTCATCCTCCTTGACTAGATCATTCTAATTATACTTGGAGAATAGTACAAGTTACAAAGCTCATCATTAGGCAGTTTTCTCCACCCTCCTGTCACTTCATCTCTCTTCGGTCCAAATATTTTCAACACCCTGTTCTCAAACACCCTCAGTCTATGTTCCTCCCTTAATGTCAGAAACTAAGTTTCACACCCATACAGAACCACACGCAAAATTATAGTTTTGTATATTCTAATTTTTATGTTTTTGGACAGCAGACAAGAAGACAAAAGGTTCTGGACTGAATGGTAGCAAGCATTGCCCGAGTTCAATCTCCTCTTAATTTCCTCCTGAATCAGGTTTTGATCTGTTATTGTTGTTCCCAAATATGTGAACTGTGCCACATTTTCAAAACGTCTGTTTCCTATCTTTATGTCATGATTTTGCCCTGCATTTTGGTGACGAGACAGTAACATATACTTCGTTTTCTGTGTTTACTCCTAGACCAACCTCTTTACTTGTGTCAATTAAAGTTTGTGTGTTTTTCTTTATGGTATCTACATTATCACCCAGTAGATTCACATCATTGGCATAGACCAACAGTTGATGTGTCCCGCTTAATTTCAGTCCCACTAAATGGAGTGGACAAAGAGTCAGATTCAGTACACTAATTACCACTTCTTGCAGCCCAAATTGCTGGCTACGGTTTACAATATAGCCATTGATAGCAATGCAGGAACAACCATTGAAGTAGACACGCTGCCCATCACATCCTCGCAGGTTGCTGAATAAGTAACACCCTCCACACTGCAAGAAAATGTACTTTTATTAGTGTTTCAGTCTTCTTTCAGAACTCTGAAATAGTGTTTCTCAACTGTCAGTCTGTGGAAAAATTTTACTGGTCCAAGAAACTTTCTAGTGGGGAGGCATGTTTTCTAAACGAAAACCTCTTGAAATGAGACATCAAACAAGTTCTTTTAAAAAGTGTTTTTGGTTGAAAAATCATTAATGAAGGCTTCATATTTAAGTGACTTTTGACATTAATATATATATATACACACAGAAGAAAATTTGGATAATTTACTGCTCCACGGTACAGTTTTGGTTGAGGTACAATGCTGTATTGGGTAGGTGTGTGACTCTAGACATGCTTTCTTCATACAATTCACAGCACAGCCCTTCACCTTCAGTGTAGCAGACTTGACAAGGTCTACAGTCACATAAGCCTTCCGCAGTTCCATGTATGAGCCTGAGCCATTGACAATGAGTTCAACGCCATCCAGTCCCATTGCAATGTGAGTACTAAACAACATAGACAAAATACAATTTCATTACAAAACTGGTTACTTCACTTGTGGAAGAACAAAACATTGCTTCTTTCCTCCTAAGTTGGTTATTTAACCATGTTGTCAGTACTGAAATTATAATGTCAGCTTTCCTTCTTGGCCTTTGACACTGACTATTGCAAAACAAGTTCTATGCATCAGTTCTGTAAGATTTTCAGCTTTCATGGTGCATGAATGCATCAAAACATTCTGGGTAAACAAGAACGAATATTTTGGAGACAGCAGGTTTCCAAAACATCAGCGTTTAACTCAAATCTGATAAGGCTGATCAGCTGAGGTGATTTTCTGAGTTCACATGTAACGTCCAGATGTCAAACAGTGTACACAGTTCATGTCAGTATTGAAGATAACTATTTTATTGTTGATTTTTAAAGTTTATATTGGTAGAACTGCCATCTTCAGTTCCTTAGTGAGGGAAGCCTATTCTTAACAATGGGAAAAAAATGTTAGATCTTCATACATTGCAAACACAACCTGCACAGAAGTCATTTAACCTTAAATAATAAAATGATTAACACTAATATATAATTAATTGTATACTCAAGAGTATTTTAAGCACAGACTAACTAAATATATTGGCCATACCTCTGTGGGTTCCAGAGTTCTTCACAGATTTCAAAACCAATACAAGTGTCCTTTGTAGAAATAACACCGTCACCAAATGATACAACTGTCTGTCCTGTGTACGCTGAGATCATCCGTGGCAGGTAATATTCTTCCAGAACTCGCTCCTACAACAGTGCACCATTTTGTAGGAAACAAAAAGAAAATTGCAAGTCATACAGACCATGGTGAAATGTCCAGATTTAGAACGCATGTATTACTGAATTAAACCTCACCTTTCTCCAAGGTGAAAACCACCGACTTTCTCTGTAATTACCATCCTCACACAGCTTCGTCTTGGGCCTGATCAACAGGACCTTCCTGTAACAACAATATAAACCAAATATCAGGCACCGCACTGACTCAATGTCTTATTAATGTATTATCATTCCTTGAAAAATATTTTAAGGAAAAATAAATTATAGTACTCCATTTCTTTATTTCCATTGTAAATCAGTGTTCATACCTATCAGTAAGTGTAAGTACAATTTGGTGGTGTGCAGTAGCATAGCTGGCTGAGGCATTATGTTACAAGTTGGAAGGTTGCGGGTTTGATTCCTAATGAGGAAACTGAATTTTTTCAATTTACCTAATCATTCCAGCTGCACTATGGCCCTGGGGTTGACTCAGCCTCTAATAGAAATGAGTACCAGGAAGATTCCTGGGGGACAAAGGGCAGCTGGGGCATAAGGCTGACAACCTTACCACCATCTGTCAGCTGACTGTCTAGAAAATGTGGGAGCCTTGACCTTTCACACCAACTATGGGACTTGACAGCCTGTTACAGTGGGCAGCTTTACCTTTTATAAGTACAATTTATTTTTAACCACATGGATCTTATGATGAGAATTTTTTAAACTCACACAAGTTAGAGTCCAAGATATCCTGGTGAAACCATGGTTCGGTATCTGTGCTAGCAAGGGACATCAAGGGAATAGCAGTTGAATGGTTAAAAGGAACAAACAGTTCGGTTTATAGTTTCTAAGATAACAGCAATGCTTTTAAACAGCATGATTAAGAAATGCATTGAAATCTTAAAAATAACAGTGATTTTAAACATTGCATTTTAGCATAAGCAATCTTACCTGTTATAAAACACCACCCGGCAGTTGTAAGTGACGTTCTTATGCATGACAGGCATCCCAACATCAATCAATATATCTTTACATACTGGACTGATTAGCAACTCAAGGAACACTTCCCAGCAATGAAGAAGGGTGTCACTCTCATAGAAATGGTCCTCACAGCTGTACCCACTGTAACAGTGACATTCAGCGTTTTAGGGGAAATGCTGCCACCATCTTCAGGCCAGAATGAGTAGGGTGAGGCAAAACATGCAGTCACTCAGACCCACCGGATAGAGAAGATGGCTCCTGGTACAGGATAATGAACAGAAACTGAGGGAAAAAAAAATAACATGGTCCATATTAGGGTTCCAAAAAGTTAGATCACAGTAGGAGACCTGATCTGTGAGCCCAATTAGGCATAGGAATAATGAACAGCCCTTCCTGTAATGTAACTAACGGGGCATTAGTAAAGGCTCATTTTTTGCTTTTACAATTACAGTTCCTATTGGCTTTGACTCCAACTTTTCTCCTTCCTCCACAAAGGATCTTGGTGACTGCTGCCTCCATCTTCAAGGTAGAATGGAGAATGAAGCAAATTCCTCCAAAATATTGGTACCATCTCTACTACACTGAAGATGGAGGCACCAGTCCATTTGAAATGCTCATACCTATCTGTAAGACTACATAGAACCACATCCCTAAAAGTGGTAATCTTAATATTCATCATCATCATCATCATCATCATCATGTACTAAAAAATGGAACAATGATTATAAATAGTAAAATAGAAAATAAATGAAAGAATTGGCTGTGGTCCATTTTGAAGTGCTATCTCTGCACTTATCAACAGAATGGAGAGAAAAACCAGGAAAATCCAAATGAAGTGTAAGTGAACTAACAATTTTAATACTTTACCATATTTCTAGTTCGGGACCACTACGGAAACTTGCTCCCGCTTCCCTGGCCTCCTGGATACTCTGGAGAATTCTGTGAAGATTTCCTTCAAAATCAAGGGCCCACTGATTCAGGGTGCAAACTGCAATTGTCACTTTACGCCCCATTGTGCTAATACACAATAATCATACGACAAGTCAGGAAAGAAACTGATTTTAAATATCAATATTCTTAGATAAAACAATTCCTGATAGTACATGTACTACACATTAATCAGGAATTTGATTTTATACCATAACCTGAACCTCTATTATTTTGAAAGTTTCTGTGGATTCTATTGAGAAAAGTCTTTTTGCAAAATTTTAGCTCCCTAAAATATAAAGCTTGCTTAGTTCATTCTCCATAGGAAACATTTTCTTGAACACTTTTTGTTTTTGAATATGCATAATTTATGTTCAGTAAACCATGTTTTACTCCATACAAAATAGAGAGCAAATTTTTATATAATAATCATAAAGATATTTGGAGCTGAAAATAAAGAGCACCACCACGATTTATTCTTCTAATCTCATCTTGAGCCCATTTATATTAGTTAATGTGTCTACTGACTTAAGCACTAAAACAAAGTAAATTGACAAGGAAACAGAACACTGATTTACTGCGTGTCTATCAATATAAATTAACGAAAGTGTAATGGGGCAGAGTTGATTTTGCTGCTAATGAAGGGGCCCTGTATAAAGAAAATAAAAATGTAAAATGCCATAAATAGGACTACAACAAACAATCCCGTGATCTTAATGTCTGATATTCTAAAAGCATACGACGTGGTCCTACGGAAAATGCCATTAATCTAAAACAGTCTGAAACGTATGATAATAAAATTTTGAAAAATTAGAAACATCGTCACGGCAATGGCCAAATTTTCTGCAAAAGAAATCGGAATCGATATTTAACGTTAAAAGAAACAGTGACGAGCATTAGAGCTTTCTGAGTCCTTACACACTGACTGAAACTACCTAAATAACACGTTATACTACGAAAATGTCTATCCCATTCCCTGCCTCTACTACCACGATTCAAACAACGTGACTCATACACACGGAATTTTGTTTACAATACTGAACATAGTTACATGGACACAAATCGAATTAGCGCCGCCAACTGCTACTAGCGAATTTCCTTGTGCTATAGGTAATTATAATAAGGGAAAGCGCACAATGTGCATAGAGTAATTGTTTTCTATTCGCGACTGTATTCGGTTATTGATGTGGTTAAGTTTTTGCATATGGTAATGTGGTATCTACTGCACTTTTTATCACAGTGTTTACACACACACGCGTCATTTGCTTCGTGGAAACGTTCGTTCTTGCATATCTCGTGGTAGAATCCGTGTGTTGCCAACCTAGTAATTGTGTGTCGTAATTTTCTGTTGGGTCCTGTCCAGGTTCTGTCAGTCATTGCATCAGTGCTGTAGAACTCTTCCCATATTTCCTCTCTTTTTTGTTTTCTTTCTTTGATAGCTTCCTCTGAGTTTTCTGTGCTTGGCAGTTGATATCTGAGTTCTTCTAATAGGAAATTTTCCTTGCAGAGTTCGTATGTTAGTCTGGATTGTGTGTTCTTAGGAAGCCCTAGCGCTAGTTTAAGGTATCTTGCCTTCACTTGTTCTATTTTCCGCAGGTTTTGTTTGGATAGTTTTTCCCAGGTTATCTCTATGCCATATAGTAGTATGGGACAAATTTTTGCATGGAATATTTTCATTGCTGTTTCTAGCGATAACAGTTGCAGGTTTCGGATGGTGTATATAGCTTTGATGGCTGCTGGTGCTATAGGTAATTCCATCATACTAATGTTTTCTGAAACTCTGAAAGTAAGCCGTTGACCCTTTACCGCATTTAACGGTGTACATGTCAAGGGTATTGCCGGTGTTGCCGGTATGGCATGAAGTGGACACAAAGGACGCAAATATGCAGGCAACGTACACAAATGTATGATTGTACGGTTACTGCGACGGTCGAAAAGGCGCTCGATATGTGTCACATCACAGAATACATGCATGGCGATGTCAGGCGTCGTAAGTTTCCGTACTAGGTACATAACCTCAAAATTCGTTCGTTAGTATCGCGGTAACAAGTTCTCTTTAAAGTTTATTAAATAGCATTAGGTGGCAAACAGTATGCATGACTGATAGCTGCCCATCTTCAANGGGGGGGGGGGAGATAAAAAACAGAGGCCTTACTTTTCAACATTAGAGGTGGTGATACATTTCAATGAAACAGGTGGACATGTACCAATTACAACCTAGATCATACTCTTTAGTCACCACTGTGGAAACCTAAAATTCAGGTGACTAATCTGCTACTTGTGGAGTACAGAAGTTATATAACAGTTTATTACCATCAAAATGTATCTTAGGGAACAGGACTATTCATCTGGCTTAGGATAGGGTCTGGTAGTAAGCTCTTGTGAACATGGTAATGAACCTTCTGGTTCCAAGACTAGCAGAGAATTTCTTGAGTAGCTGGGTATTAACTTCATGACTCCACTCCTTGGAGTCATTTCAGTTACTAGACTCTATTGAGACTTGGCATGTTTCCCTCTCAGGTGTTTGAAAATGCCTGGGAATTATGTAGGACATAAATTTATGTAAATGGTAGATACGGGAATTCATTCTGGGCAAATAACTTATTGTTTAAGACAGTTATTATGAAAATAGAGACTTCGAATCCCATCTTATTCATAATTTTTGGTTTATTAATTGTATTGACATTTCACTGAGGTATTTATTCAATCATTCATGAAATGTAACAAGATAATAAGTGACCAACAATATTTTCCAGGAGTTATATGCTGTCATGGTCCTAATTTGCAGAAATAACTATGTGAATGGGAAGATCCTTTGCCAGTCTGGATCCATTCAAAAACTGTAACTGTAGTTTTTAACTCTGATGCTCTGGGTTAGGTCTGTTGTGGTTTCTTATAGTAAGGTTACTTATCCCTTTTCTAAAACTTAAAAAAGAAAAAAGTACAGGCCATATAGGCCCATAAAGTTTTGAGACGCTGAGGCTCCCACATTTTCTAAACAGTTGGTGGTGAAGTTGCCAGCCTTATGTGCTGGCCACCCTTTTACCACCAGGAAGATTCCTGGTACTTATTGCTGTTAGAGGCTGAGTTGATCCTAGGGTCATAGTGCAGCTGAAAAGATGAGGTCAATTGAAATATCCAATGACATCAGGAATCAAGCCTGCGACCTTCCAGCTTGTAGCACAGTGCCTCAATCAACTATGGTACTGGGCCGCACCATAGCTCAAGCGGTTAGTCTCTGGCTTCACACCGTGGCGGCCCGGGTTCAATCCTGGGTCTGGTCAAGTGGGATTTATGGTGGACAAAGTGGCACTGGGGCAGGTTTTCTCTGACTACTTTGGTTTCCCCTGCCAGTCTTCATTCCACCAAATCCTCCATCATTATAATCACCCAGGGCAGGTACAATAGACCAATCAGTGGCCGCCATGCTGAGTGGACCCAGTTGGACTCCACCCCTCACTTAGCGAATTAAAAAGAAACTATGGTACTGCATACCCCCTTTCTCTGAAAGTTCATGATTATAATTTTCTTTTTGTATAATCCACATACAATAAAACATCAATATAACAATCAATAAATAAGATTAATAATTTAAATGCTGCTTCTATCATCCGTTCAGTCATGGAGCAGTGCCAATTGTAAGAGTGGCATTACTGCAAGTGAGGATAAATCTGCCAACACAGCCTGCACAGAAATACATAACACAATTAAAATAAGTTCAACCTTAAGTCAAGTTCCTTTTTATGGTTGGCAGGATCAAGTGATAGATTTGTAAATTCAACATAACAAGTAATAGATTTACACTAGCATACAGGGTGATCCATTTTGGGGGAGGCCCCAATTTAATAACTGTAAATCACACAATAATTTACAAATGAAAATAGAAATTGATATTAATCTGAAATTCCTACCAGTATGTCATACCTCAACATTGGGTAGTGTGTCAACCAATAGGAGGTTGTCCTTACGGAAGCTGAGGATAGCAACTGCAAGAAGGGGTAGGATCTCAAGTGAATCATATGCCAGAATCATGTCCCAGAGATACAGCAGTTGCTCTGGAGGTAAATGCCCACTAAAGGCACGCATCAGCCACTTGAACACCACACGTACACTGCAATAAATTTACCAGTCAGTCAGATTAATAAAGGTAAAGTTGTTCCTGTGCTATGCCATGTGGACATACGGGAAAGTGGAGGTATAGCTCCATGCATTCTTAACTGAGGTACTATATCGAGGTGAATAGACAGATTCATGGCCTATTTGCTTTGTATATTTATTTATGGCTTATTTTAGTGGTGCTATTATTAACTCGTGATATACAGCATCAAATGCTTTCTGTCAGAGGCAGGTTTTCACGAAGTACTTTGGTTTTCCCAGCCAATTTTCATTCCACCAACTGCTTCAAATTCATTACTCATCCTATGATCGACTCCATGTGGTCTATGAATTGGCAGTGTCATTAAATAATCAATCCATTCAAGAACTCACGGTTGTATGTTGATGTGTTTGAAATGGAACCACAGCTGTGGCTCATGACGCTGGAGTAGCCGCTCAAACAAAAGACAGAGACAGAGGAGACCTTGCTCATGAGAAGAAACTTCATGAAGATGGAACCAGTAACGCAGATAGAATGCTCTAAATGTGTGGTAGAGTGCAACTGGATTGTCATAGAGGTAGCAAAAAGGAGTAGCTGCAACATTAATATTTTCATGCCATGGTGTCATTTCTCAAAATATTAAATTCATACATTATATTTGTCAACTTAATTAACATATTGATATGTATTAGTGATTAGACATGGGGTTTGGACTGATAATTGGATTTACTGAATGCTAACAACTTGTAACTGTAAATAATTATAACACTTTCACTAATCTACACACTCTACAAACCACTAAAGCACACACTGAGTGTTCTGTCTTCACTAGTTGTTGCTTGGTAGCAGTGTCTAACAATGAAACTCAAGAGTTTGGACTGGTAACCTCCAACTCCAACTTCTGAATGGCTAACTCAAAGTCAAAGTTACTCTACAACTTACTTTCCTTGTCTGTCCTCACTATATAGTTTCAGCATGAACTGCATAGAAAACATCACTTCCAGGATTTCTGCAATTGTTGAGTGACATGTTAAGTAGGCTGTTGCCTAGTGGTGTCCCAGGTGTTACTGACATGGGAGCATGTGTGTTGGTTGCTGTTAAAATATGTTTATTGGCCGTGGCCAGCAATTGATGTCTTTTCTGAGTCTACTATTCCAGCTGTCAGCTGTCATGTCACAATATATAATGAATTATATCTCCTCTTTCCATGCACAGATTAAAGTCACTCAGTTGGTTTGCCTTCCAGAGCTCAGTACTCAGATATAAGAACTTACCATACATTGTGAACCCATGGAATGGAATGACTCCACTGGGTGGAAATGCTACAGTATTTTCCACAGTAGCAGGTTTGTTCTTGAGCACAGCATGGACAGGGTTGCCAGCACTGTGGTTGAAAACTGACAGAACTTCTGTATCTCGAGAGAAACACAGCATAACCTGATTAACAAACCAAAACCAGATATGCAGAAAGTTAATTTCAAATCCAAACTGTAGTTTAAGATAATGGTTAATGGAATTCTATACTGCTGTTTANGTTAAGAGTACTATAGTACTACAGTAGTGTAAATAAAATCATAGACCCAGTGTTTTCCGTGTATTAACAAGGATTTGAAATATTATTTAGACAAATTACAGACTTCAAAAGATTAATTCCATTTCTCCATCCCTTACATTACCTATCATTGTCTCCCCCCCCCCATCCAATCAAGAATCTCAGAACAGATGAAGATCACGTCTCAGCATATTAACAGTCATTCTTGCATTAACTGTAGATGCTGTGTAAAGGCACAGTCCTTAAAAGTAGAGAAATAAATAATTATCTTGCCTGGTATAAGACATCTTCAAACACAAAGTACTGGTCATCATTAGAGGCTGTGAGCTGAACATCCTAAACAAAATAGATTTAATTAGTATCAGTGGCAATACATGTCAGTCCTTTGAGATCCAGCGTTCCATGCTCAAACCATCTGTGGCTTGGATTCAAATTATCCTAGTGCTCAAGCAGTTGAAGACAATAAAATATTAGACCGTAAATCCTTATTGAGAAAAAACTACAGAGCAGATAAAATATCTTCTTTTAGTCCTTGCTGCAGTAGGAGAACAAACAGGAATGTTTAATCTTTAAATGCCAAGTCTAACTATAAAACTACCTGCTAGGAATAACAAGGCTGCTTGGGGTAAATGCAGTTATACTAAAACAATAGTCCTCAAATAATATTCAAATGCACACTGCTGCAGATCATGTGATATCCTGCTCTTTTCTCTAACACTGATATGTCACACTTGATGTCATCTACTGACAGCAGTGTTGTACTGATTGGCTGTGGTGCTTTTAATGCAAACACCCTGGGCTGTACTAATCAGCTCATAGTGTGATAACAGTTTAAAAGGGAACAGTCTAAAATTGTGATATGAAAGCTACTGACAAATCACGGCTAGTTTACCTTGCAAAATATAGTTCATACATGAATTAATCTTGTTCCTCACCTTAATTATGAGTTTGTCCACCATAAGGTCATACTGGAGCACTTGTTGTTTCAACCCATTGAAATACTCTACATGCTCTGGATGGATACATGAACCCATGACCTGAGCCCAGATGCGTCCCCGTAAACTCCGTGGACACCCTCGTTTTAAAAATTCTTGTGCAACTGGTGCATGATTTGATGCCAGAACTGCAATAATATGTATACACATCTTTATGTACAAATACCATTCATCCATATGGTTTATTTAGTGATGTCAGTAGTGCATACATTGGTGAACTATAAATTAGGAAGGATGTGGAAGGCAGACATCATACCTACTTGTACGAGTAGGTACTACCTGAAACTTGCCTGCAGGGTCTCAGAGAAACTAAAAATCCCTGTCAGGATAGCCAATATCCAAACAGAGCTGTATCTGGAATGTTCTAAATGCAAAGCAGGAATCCTAACCATTCAATTGCAATAGTCAGCATCAAGCAGTCATGTCTGTGCATGTCAGAAGTACATTACACTGATGGAATTTAGTACAGAACTAAGACACAAATGCCTTGCATATTCATTTCAATTTGTAGATCATAAAGGCTAACAGAAAATTGAAAATACCAGATGCGACTCTTTAAAAGAATGGTTAAAGTGAAATGTTCTATAAATTTGACTGCAACTCATATATTTGTGTAGAATGTTCTTAAATATATGTATACAGAAGATATATTAAATGCATGTGAATAATTACACAGAATTTTTTTTCCCTTCTGAATGTTAGAAATGAGCATTTTTTTTATAACTGCTGGTTACCTAACCTTGAAGTAAGTAATACAGCCCAGTCAAAATAAAAAATGCCAAATGAATCAAGTGTATTACCTTTCTCACCCAGTGCAGTGCGTTCAGCTTCCAATGTTGGATGGTTCCCAACAGCTGATGCCATGTAAGGGTTCACCCCAAGCAATGGCTCTCCACGAGACAGTTCCACATAAAGACAACGCTGAAATCAGCACCGTTCTTTTGGATTCATTCTTATGAGACATAACAATCAGCAACATGCGGTAAGGAAAATGAAACCTTGATTTGGGACAGATTAATTAAAATAATATGAGAATTAGTCACCTTCCACATTAATGAAAATTTCATAACACCTACATTCCCATTTCAGGCTTCTTGTGGTAGAAAATTTTCACTGTTAATGTTTTATTTAGATCAGCGATGGCCAACTGGCGGCCCGCGACTTGATTTACTCCGGCCCCCTGCCAAGTCTCAGGTTTATTTTCAAAAATCTTAACTTCACAGCTGTATTGGCATAGAATTCAGTTTTTAATAGGACGTTTCATTAGCTTACAGCATTTTGCAATTGACTGTATACGTTCTTACTGAGTTGGACAGTTCAAACGGTTTTCTAATAACTGTGTTCATGTCATGGAAATCCAAAGTTCCCCAACCCTACTTCTGTAGGGAGATGACACTGAAGGGAAGACCGTAGTGGTGAAGGATTTATGACACCTTCAAAATAATAACCATTCCCAGCTTGCTCGCGGCGATGGGATGTTTACCGTTTCTCTCGGCATCCTGGCCTTTGTTAAGTGCCAGTTTTAGCAGAAATGTCTCCCAGTTAGTGCGATTTTAGAAAGTGAAGTGTGATTACGGAGTGTGAGTGTAGAACTGTTTTTAAATTAAAATTGTGTTTGAAGTTATTGTGAGTGATACAGCATGTCAAATAGTAAATTGAGAAAAGTTGATAGCGAAAATAGGGCGTTCAAATCTGAGTGGGAACATGACTATTTTTTTATATTAAATAAAGACCACAAGCCACAGTGTTTAGTATGTTTTCAAGTGCTAGCAGTTTTAAAGGAGTACAACCTAAAGAGGCATTACATGACAAATCATAAACAGAAGTTCGGAAAACACTCTTGTGAATCAAGGAAAGTAGTCTGCGATCAGTTAAAGAAAAAACTTTTCCAGCAGAAATCTCTTTTTACCAATGAAACAAAACAACAAGAAGAAGCTTTGCTGGCTTCTTATTTCGTGACATATGAATTAATGAAAGCTAAAAAAGCGTTAAGTGATGGTGAATTAATTAAGAACTGTGCGATAAAGATGGCAGAAGCTTTCAATGAAAATAAGGTAGGAAACAAATTTCAAACAGTGCCCCTTTCAAAACAGACTGTTACTAGGAGGCTGGAAGATATTAGCAACCAGATATCTAATAATGTGAAAGACATTATCGCTAATTGTTCCTATTTCTCAATTGCTCTCGACGAAAGCACAGATGTTTCGGATACTAATCAGTTGCTGATATTTGTTCGTGCAATTAAGGAAGATTTTACAATTTTCGAAGAGTTGTTAAAAGTGTGCTCTTTACACAGCACAACTAGAGGTGTCGATATTTTTAACGCTGTTAAGAGTGCAGTGGAGGAATTCGGTGGTTTTGAAAAATTGTCCTCCATAGTAACAGATGGCGCTAAATCAATGACAGGGACAATAAGCGGTTTTGTTGGATTTTTAAGACAGAATCAAATTACTGTACCTACCTTGCATTGTATTATACATCAGGAGGCTCTATGTGCCAAATCAATTAAACTGTCTACCACCATGGCTACTGTCACAAAAATTACTAATTTGATCAGAGGAGGAAATCGATCACTCACTCACAGAAAATTTCTGACCCTCTTGGAAGAAATGGATTCTGCTTACGGGGACCTGCTTCTGCACACTGAAGTAAGATGGTTAAGCCGTGGGAAATGTCTGGTACGGTTCTTTGAACTCCGTCATGAAATAGCAACATTCCTAAGAGAAGAGGTTACGAATTCTGCTGAACTGCAGAATGATCTCGAAGACGTCGAATTCTTGAGAAACTTGGCCTTTCTCACTGATATCACTCAACACTTGAATGTCCTGAATCTGCAATTGCAAGGCAAGAAGCAGACAATATGTCAGATGGTTGGCTTTGTTGACAGTTTCCGTAAAAAGCTACATTTATTTAAGTCTGCATTGGACAAAAATAACCTTCTACATTTCCCTTGCTGTCGGAAACTCTCAGAAGAAGAAGAAGGCTTGGAGTTTAGGGACTACACTGAAATTATTGAAGATTTGTCTTCAGAGTTCGACCGACGATTTAACGATTTTGAAAGCTTTCGACCTGATATTTCTTTATTCAGTAATCCTATACATTGTGATATAGAATCTCAGCCAGGTCATCTGCAATTAGAGCTTTGTGAACTTCAATGTGACCCATCCTTAAACACATCTCAGGTTACTGGAATTGACTTTTGGAAACTGCTTTCACCAGAACGTTACCCACTGTTACGAAATTGGGCTCTCAAACTTTGCTCTGTTTTTGCAAGTACTTACATATGCGAGACAGCGTTTTCATCGCTGAAGCATGTAAAGTCTAAGAACAGGAACAGACTTTCAGATGTCGTGTTATCACATATTCTTCGAGTGGCAACCTCACAATTAGAAGTGGATTTTATATCATTGGTTTCCAGTTTTATGAAACCACAGTGCTCTCATTAAAACAGTGTGTATATGAGGATTTAGGTATAATCATTAGACCATAAAAACTATGATTGAAAGTCTTTTGTGCTCATCCCTGCTGAAAGAGGAATTTGTGCTGTTTTATGGTAAGTAATTGCACATTTCAAGGCATTTTATTTTTCTTTCTTAAATTATAATTGCATTTTCCCCCGGCATATATAAAACTAAACATAAGACATGATCTGGCCAGTGTTTCTTTAAGAAAAAATGCTCTGGCGGTAGAAGTGATAGAAGGCAATAAAATCGATTGGTGAAATTTTCATTATCGGCTTAATATTATTGGTGCAACGTAAAATTTAAATACATAGGTTTAAATGCACTGTTTTTATACGGGTTGTGACTGATTCAGTTTGGGGGGCAATACTCCCCGACCACTTTTCTGAAAGAAACACCGTATCTGGCCCCTGATGGTGTTCTATAAACTAAATTTGGCCCTCGAGATGTATTAGGTTGGCCAACGCTGATTTAGATGGTGTAAATTTGTAAACCAAGAATAAAATTCCACATTGGACTTGTTTACAAATGGAATCCTAGTCAAGTCAGAATTTGTAAATACATCATAGATTATTACTACTACTGCTACTGCTACTACCACTGCCACTGCCACTAACACTACAACGCTATTATCACTATGTATAATTTCGTTTTATGACTGCTCTGTAGGTGACTGAGTTCTATTTTATGAACTGTTCTTGTGTATGTTGTGTATATTGAAATCTTGTAAAATTCATATGTTACGGTGTTGCATAAGCTTTTATGGGTTGTAGTTTAATTGATTTTAACTTGAACAATTTCCACTTTCTGTGTTTTATTATCACTATGTATAATTTCATATTATGATTGTTCTGTATGTGACTGAGTTCTATTTTATGAACTGTTCTTGTGTATGTTTTGATTTCATTGTAACTTGTTCAACATCCTAGGTTTCGCCAAAAATGATTTATTGAATTTAAAGAATAAATGAAATCAAAATAAAATCAAACCATTATGGGGAAGAACATGTTCATTTTGCACAATCGCTGTGTTTTTAATTGTTTGACTGATAAACAATATTCATACAAAATTTTATGCATATTTATGATGTCATTTTGTATGTCTTAACAGAAGTCAGATACCGTTTGAAGATGTACGACTATAAATGATTTAATGAATCTAGATAAAGTGCCAATGTCACTCCCCAATCATGAGTTTGTCTCTCTGCCATGGTGAAATTAAAAAGTATGGGTTATGGCATAACATTCAAAGAAAACTCAATGAAAATTGGGTGAAATGGTTCAAAAGTGGGGAATCAAGTGCATACATGGACACACAGTATAGCAATCTTACAAGCCTCCTTTCCTTCCTTAAGATATGGAAGCAAGTTAAAAACTACTTCAACATCAACCACGAACTCTACAAACCTCTCAGATAACGTGAGAAATTATGCTATAGAAAGATACAATGTCAAGGACAGGAGAATGAATCAACTCACCAGCTCGGCTAGTGTTTTCACTCGCAGGGGAATCTGACTGATATGGCAATTCCCTTCACCGCTGCATGAAAAATATAGATTTACTTACAGTTTATTTATTGAAGCTGTCGAAAACTCAGATTGTACAAGCTGAATGACTGAATGATAGTGAATAAAGGATTGGAAAGGATTTGGAAGGAACTGATAATGGCCCGATTTAAAGAACCAACCCAGCATTTGCTGGGAGGTTGCCCATTGAAGGTCAGAGTGCTAGGGCCAGTTTTATGGCTCACCCCTCATAATTTGCTGGGAAGGACTGACGAGAACCACAGCATACCTTACGATAGCTGGTGTTCTGACAAAGATTCAAACTGGAGGCCTCTTAAATAGAAGTCAGAAGTGTAATCACTTCAGACATCTTGCTCAGTAAACCAGATATAAAGGCAAAGACTGCTTAAGTAGGCAGTTACAGTCACAGCCAACAAATTCCAGTGAAGCTTGGCACTAGCCCAGGTTCAATCCCGGGTGGATTCTAGATGAGATTCATGGTGCATGAAGTGGCACCGGAGTTTCTCCAATTTTTTCCCTACTTATCACTGTATCACCATTCATTTACACTTATATATCACTACCTCTTAAAATGTATGATAACCCTGACCAGGCAGCACATTATAATATCTCTGGTCTTTGAATTTGGGGTTTCATCTTTGTTCTGGCACTTGGCTAGTTACAGAGTAAGGAAGTTAATTAAACAGAAAAGATTACAGCATCCACTACTGAGCTTATTTTACCAGTCTTGGTATAACAATATACATAAGAACTTTTAAGAACATCTCCTTGGTACAAATTATATGCTTGCATAAAAAGGAATTGGTAATCTTGGAATATGACACTGAACTCTCATTCAGAAGGACCTTAGCTTGATCCTCAGTTATCTATCTACAAATTTTCTGTTCACAGACTAAAACAATCACTTCTACAATAGAACTCTGAGAATGTGAATAACTCCAGGTGCTCCTCCCCATGGTTGGGAGCTCAAATTAAGTTGTAGAATTTCAGAATGCATGGAATATACCTCAAGTTGTCCTTATGTTTTCCTGATGTGGTGCTTTCTTCAGCACAAGGACAACTTTATCTTTTTTACTGTTGTGATAAATAGACCTAAAACATATTATTACAATGAAATAACAAATATACAGTACAAGGCTGGATTAATTGGGCCACAGTTACTCCAGGACTCTGGTGTTAACTTCTTGTCTTTTACAATATAGGAATATATATGTATAGTTTGTCTGTTATTTCAATCCTGAATTATCTCATATTCTCTCTTATTCTGATATCCCATGGATCTGAACATGTAGGAACAATCAGAAGAGGGACTCTGAAAGTATATAAGCGCCATGGCCACAGACTACCTGAATCCAGTACTGATACAGACCCTTATAAGTCAAATATACTCACTCCATACTACAATAGTTGGGGCTATGAATGCATAGCAGAACTTCTAGAAAATCTTTTGGAGCATATACTGGTCGGTACTGACTCAGGTCTAGAAAAAAGAAAGACATCACATCACAAATATTTAAAGCATTTATTGTCAGCATATGGCATTTTATGGTTCTGTAAACTCTCCATTACCCAGCATGTACTGGGAATAGAAAGTGTCCATTACGTGAACCTGCTAGTTGCATGAAGGAAACTCTCACAGAAACCAAACATAAAGTCAAAGATTTCACTTTAGGTCTTGCATGGAAGTCTTCCCAGATGAAGCCAATTTATGTGTAAAAGATTTCAGATACATATACTGTCACGACATAATTACAAATTCAACTAAACATAAAACTCAGCCATTCCTATTCAGTGCCTAGGTCACTACAAAGAATCCATGAAATTTCATGGCTTTCTTAAAAGTGTCATATTGCAGAATATTTGTAGAGTGGTGTTGTGACCTATGTCCAACACCTAATTTATTCACAGCAGTGTACGGGTTTCATTATCATGTCTACCTGTATACACAAATACTTATCAAAATCGTTAGTATGCTCTTCCATTTGTCACCTAAAATTTTATGGCTATGTTCTAATTAACAGACAAAGGCATAAAACAAATAATTGCAAAGAACGGACATCTGTAATAATAGAGGCCCAGATTCGTAAAGGACCACAGACCCTAGAATTAAGTAAGTAAGTAAGGGCCAATTATACATAATGCAAAAACTGGTTAGCATACTGTATTATCACATTTAGAATTGTGGGGACATCCCACATACCACGCCCTGCAAATTTCTGCTCCTCATTTTCGATAGCCAATCAGCGCTCTGCAAATTGTTGCTCCTCAAATGAAAGTTTCGCTCCGCCTACCGAGATGGGTATAAAAAGGAGCAGCTCCAATCTGGCAGCATCAGTCGTCAGTTCCACATCAGTCTATAAGCAGTCTACAAACAGCACACTTCGTCACCAGCGCTCAGTCTTCGGAGGCATCGGCACTTCACTGCGCCAGGCACGACTGCCTTGGCTGTCCAGAGGCCACACCCGACTCACTGAGTAACTCGGTCACCTCGATTCGCCGGTGGTCATGCCCGACTCACTGGGCAACTGACGTAGCTACCGCCTCTCCACTCCTGCAACTGCTCGGCAAGCGAACGTTTTCCAGCAATGGCCACACTGCGGCCAGTCAATTGATTCAGCCGCCTCAACACACCGCAACCAACATCCCTTTCTACTGGCGCGCGCTGTGCTACTTCACCGGCCAAACATCCCAGCAGCCAACGGTCCTTTTCAGGACCTACAAACTTTTCCGAAGAAGTGGGTTGTCATAGGAATAATGACAAAAATCCCCACAGAATGATATTTAGTTCTGCTATAGCAACTAGGATGCAGGCTGGATGACTGGGTAATCAGTGTTTGTGTCTAGGCAGGGACTCTCCACCCCAGCTCTGGGGCCAATCCAGCCTCCTACACAATGAGCACCAGGGGCTGTTTCTGTAGGGGTAAAGTGGTAAGGGCATGAAGCTAGCAGCTCACCTCCCTCCACTACTGATGTTAAGAATGACAGAGCTATACCTTCACTCAATTCATCTTCATGTTGTGGTGCTTAATTAAGTACAGTGGAAACTTTACCTTTTACCTTCATTTCTGGATTCTGACATCAGAGAAAGGCTGAATATTACAAACAGAACTGAAGGTATACAAGGATACCACCAAAACTGAAAATAAAAATCATTTGGAAAGAGACCATGTTACAAAGTTGGCATCCTGCTACCAACATAGTGGATGACAAGACTTATGACAACTAAAATGACAATGGAGAGACCAAAGCCACCTTCACATTCATAGCAACAGGCCTTAATGGCCTAACTCTGTAAAGTTCACAGTGATTTACTTTTGGCCCCATTAAAATTCATGACTATAACCTGCAACTCACCAATGTCATATGTACTTAATTCAGTCCACTTTTCCTCCAATTCATCTCTGTCTGAAGCCAAACGGAAGCGAGCCAACGGCACACCAATTTCATTGCACATTGAGTTAAGGGATTTGTGAATTCGTTTTTCCCATTGCATCTGTTGACGCAAAAATAAACAAACAGTAAACAAAGGTACAAGCAGTTTATTTAATGCTGCCTGCAATAGTTTAGGCTATAAAACATTGAATGACTGGATGATTAGTGCACAGTGAATTAGAAAGGATGTAGAAGGAAGCAGCGTGAGCTTAATTTGAGGTATTATTCTAGTACTTGCCTGGAGGAAGTGAGTAGAACAATGAAAAATCTCAGGGTAGGTTGGTTGGTTGGTTGATCAGTTACAACAACATACATCAATAACACAGCATTCAGTTAAACATAGGAAAATCTTGCATTAAAATGTTATTAACACATGTGCTGCCATCTTCTCTCTGAGTCTTCAAGTTAGCAGAGCATGCATCACACCCCAGAAGAAAGTAATTTTTAAGCTTATAGTAATACAAATTTCAAGCACTGTATAGAGTGGCCCCTTTTAAAGATTACATGATTGCATTCTGTAAATTCTATGCCCCACTAACATAGGAATACAGCTGGGGACTCAGATGTAACTTAAAGAGTTTGAGCCCACATACTGTTACTGCCTGGTAACTTTAGCCGCCCGGAAAGGCAAACGCTGTTGTGGGGCACGCGAAGCTATACCCTTGCTGTGGGGCCGTTCACAGTTACTCCCCAAGCGGAAAACATTGCCTATGGAGACCAGGAGTAGTACTATACACCTGACCACACTCCAAGACGCTACATTCCAAACTGGTAGTACCCACGCTGACGTAGGCTGACAAGACTGCTCCCCCTCACTCCGTGAGAGATGGTATGACCCCTCTACCACGGCTAAAGTTATGAGGCAGTAACAGTACATAAACTACCTCACCCAGTGCCAATCCTAGATCCGCCATACATGCACATTTCTTGTTGCTACTTATTGACAGAGCTGGGATAGCTGGGTGACTGAGGGGTAGGTGTTCCAGTCCCTGTAGGGTCAAGAATTTTCTCTTCTCAATGTCGTCTGGACTGGCTCTGGGGCCCACCCAGCCTCCTGTCCAGTGGTTACTGAAGGGCTCTTCCCCTCAGGGTAAAGTAGCTGGTGGGTGAAGGCGACAACTTACCTTCAAGTAGTGCTGAGGTCAAGAAAATGTGGATCTATATATCCACTCCCACCATACTTCATGGTGTAGTGTCTAATTAGTTGATCACAGTGACAGCTTTCCCCCTTACCTAACATAGTGTTACTACATGCAAATCTGAAAATGTGACATATGAGAAGAAAAGTGGGAAAAATTGTAAAACAAGTGGATAATTTCTTACATCTTTATACTTATTTATTTATTAACTGTTTAAGATTTCTCTTTACAATTTGGATTAAAATAGTATGCTGACAAAATGAATAATCATCATCATTCACAAAATAACCCTTTTGGAGCCACTGCCTTTCTCAAAGAATTCTGTTTAGATTGCATCTAGTTTTCACTTCTTTGGATTTCACAACACTAATTACTTTTCAGAGCAAGGTCATCAGCCTTGTGTCTGACCGCCAACCTAGATGACCAGGTGTCTATATTTATGCCCCCCAGTTATATCCCCAGGTACCAAGGTCCAATTTCGTCGCCTTCTATGACTTGCAGGGTTATGGTGGAAGTATTCCAATCCACCTTCACGTTGGAAAATGAATATTCACAGTTACATTTGAGCTGTCTGAAGACAGAAAGGGTCTCCTATGCTCAGGGCACAGGCTGAGCCCCTCATCAATGTACACATCATTTTGGTGTCACAACTACTATTAACATCAACTTAAATGTATCATAAAGAATAAAACAGTTACTAATACAGCTAACCTGCGCTTTCCGTAAATATGCAAGTGGCTCCTTGATGGAATATCCACTAATGCTGTCATGATTATTGTGGGATCTCACCCAGTGAAACACTGTGTTCCTCAGTTCAGTTTCCATTCCAGCTTGTTTCATTGCTTGAAGGAGAGTTTCTTTGAATTCAGTTTTATTCACACAAGTTGAAGATGCAATTTTCTATGGAACAAATTAAACATATTAATATACACAATTTCAACCTGAATATTAAAAAAAAAATAATAGAATAACAATGCTCTTTCACAACATTCAATGTTCAAACTGCAAAATATGTCGCTAGGAATTCAAACCTCAGCCCAAATAGGCTATCCTAACTATCCTTATCATGGTTTTCCTCAGTCATCTAAACATATGCTTGGATATCTTAAACTTGGCCACGGCCACTTCCTTCTACATCCCATCCATTACTCGCTAATCGTTAAATCATTACACGCTATATAATCTCAGCAACTAAAAGAATTGTTAAATACGCCAGAATCTACGAATAAAAGATATCGATAAAACTTACCTGAATTCCTGAATAAAATTTCTTATATGCAGGCATATTTTGTATTTCTTCTGTAAGTTTCTGAGCAGTAAAATGAATACTTTTGTCCTTCATGTCATCCATGATAACGTGGTTGAAACAATATCACCATACAAGAATTATCCTCAAATTCTGGACAACTTCACCAGTCACAGCAAACGCGACTCCATCTCTATACTCGTACTTGGCGGTACTTGGTACCGCTCTTTCACGTCTGCTAATTATTAGAACACAGATGGCACAACGAGTCAATATCCATCAGAGCGCTTTTCGAACCAGCATACATGTAGACAGAATTGCCAGGGACAGGGGATAAGGTAAAGGCAAAGTTATCCCTGGGCTTAAGTAATTAAGCACTATGTCATGAAGACGTATTTGGAATGAACGTATAGCTCCATGCTTCATAAACTTCTGCATTAGATGCAGGTGGGTGGTCAGTTCCGCACCCGTCATTTTGCGGGAACAGCCCTCGGTACCCACTGTGCAGGAAGTTGGACTAGTAATAATATATCTCTGTATAGACCGCATAGACCATCTGTTTGTTGCACAAATTGATGCTATTTGAGTACTCTTTGGTGTTTTGTGTTGAAATCTGGAACACGGTAAGGAACGATCAAGAATATCGTTGATTCTGCAAAAACTGTAAAGCAATGCTGCCAACACATTACGTTTGTTGTTAATTCGACCATTTTGACATAGTGTGGCGGTTTCATTGATTTATATAAGTAGATATATTATTCATTGTGGAGAAAATGTGTGATTTATGTGCATACATTTGTGATTTAAATATAGAAGTAATTTTTAATGTCTGTCACAATTTGTAATTCCGATAGTGGTATTTCATGTTAAATAATTTAAGGTAACCTCAAACAGTCATGGAAGAAGAGGATGCATTTATACAAAACTTGGCTTCTATGTTGGAAGTTTCGCTAGTAGAGGATACGAACTCGATGGTGACATTAACTGCAGCCGAAGGTAAAGAATATATTGTATTGTATGTTTGCAAAAAAAAATTGTAACAGTATTCTTGTTTGAGAAGTATGTTGCAGTGTCAGTTTCCATAGTGTTTATTCGTTTTTCGCAGAGTCGACAGGAAATAGTGGCGAAACGAAACAGAATAACATCAGCGTAAATGGTGTAGCACATTCTGCTCAAGAATCAGTTTCAGAAGCAAAGTCAGCAGATGTGTCTTGCACCCCTGTTGAGGAACAGGTTAAAGCACAGGGTAAGCTTATTTGTAATGGGCAGGTTTTATTGTAAGTTAAAGAAGACTTACACATTTAAAAACTCAGTTTTAATCTTTTAAGGGATTAAAACAAAAAATTATGGAGAATACTGATTATTTCAGGTGCACCTGATCCAGATTCAGAATCTCCTTCAAAATCAATGTTAACAGATGTGCCATTCCTCTCTGAAAATGCACTAGAGACTGCATTTGGTGAGTGTTACTTTGCACATAAGTAGCATAGCCTCATTCCAGCTGAAGGTTTCAAAATATGTGAGGACTGAGTTGGATGTTTTGAAATGTGAAAGAGTTATCAAGTGAGACATGCCAGGATTTGTGTGGAGTAAGAGAAGTGCATACAAGACTTGGTCAAGGAAACCAAATAAGAAAGGTTACTTGGGAAGCCTAGGCATAGATTTGAGGACAATATTAAGGACTTGGGGCTATGCATACTTGCAGCTGAATAAAAACATCCATTACAGAAAATACATACAAAGTATAGGTTTCAAGTAGCTCTTCTGAGTAACAATTTTTAATTAAAATTATGGCATCGGATGACACAAGACTGAGACTCTTACTGGCAGTTTCACCTTATAATTACTGTTACCTGCAACTAGTTTTTGCAGTGATTTTCCAGTGCACTGTGTTGCCATCTCATGTAGCATCATAACAGTTTTATTCTGTAGAGACAAATAGGATGTGAGGTTATGATCTAGATTCATTTGCCTCAATGTAGGAATGAGTGTCAGACTCTTGCGAGTGTAGTAATGAACTCTTCAGGTTCCATGAAAGACAAGGAATTTCTTGACCAGCTGAATGACCATCAGCTTTTGGGAAGGGTTTAGTTCTGTGGGGATATGAAGAGTTCTCAGGTAACTAACTGCCTTAATAGAGTCTAAAGGGTTCTGACAATTGTGTATAACACTCAGAATTACAGGGTTTTTAGTCTTTGTCCATCGTCCAGTATTGTAGAGAGTAGAGAACACTACATTTCAGAAAATGAATCTCTCTCCATTCTTGATCACTGAACCAATGATCGAAGTTAGCTCTTACTAAGGGACCCAACTGAGTAGATGTCTTCCCCCTCACCTGAGGACGGAAACATCCAGTTTCCGAGACGTCGTGTTTTCTAGTCTCTAGAATACCGGATGATGGAAAAAGTCCAAGAACCCAGTAATTTTAACTGCCTAAATGTTGCAGGGTCTTATATTTATGCACTTGGCGAGTGAGGCAATAGATACTCGGTTTGTAAGCGAATGATTATGGGAAAGTGTTCCACAAAACAGTGTGAAGGTTACAAAAACAATGTTTTTCAGACTTTGGACATCATGAGTTATTGACATCAGAGAGCCAGTCCCAAACAGATGTTGAAGACGAAGAGAAACAGATGTATTATTCATGTTTTAAGGGCAAGTACTCTAATTTTGTCAGTAACATTTATGTATTAATATATAAGGTTTTATTTGTTTTGTTATTTCACTGAAAAGGTTTAAAAAATAAAGTCCCCACATTTAATTAAGCACCATGTCGTGAACATGCTGGGAGTGGAGATCTAGCTCTGTGAATTCGTGACCCCGGCATGGGTGAAGGTGAGTGGTTTCATATCTCAGCTGCCTTATTTCTGGGCAAAGAGTTCCTGGAACCCATTGGAAAGTCTGGGCAAGCCCCAGAGCTGGTCTGGACACAGTGATAAAATTTCAGCCTCTGCTGGAAATCAAACCCTGATTCTTTTGTTCAGCTTGTAGCCTAGTCATTGTATTGACTGAGCTGTTCTAGCTCTGTTACTGCACCAGGTATGTGTATGATGTATTTTTGGGCATCACAGTACTTACACAAGTATCATTCTCAGCAAGAATATGCTTAATACAGTCTGTGTGATCCATCAGGCTGTTTTCTAAGTAGCTGGCATTTAAAATATATATGAATTTTTGCAACATCTTGAACTGGTAGAACTGGTAGAACTGCTGTATTGTATATTTTATATTTCTGGCACAGTTCAGATATTTGGGAACAACGATAACAGATCGAAACCTGATTCAGGAAGAAATTAAGAGGCGTTTGAACTCGGGTAATGCTTGCTACCACTCAGTCCAGAACCTTTTGTCTTCTTGTCTGTTGTCCAAAAACATAAAAATTAGACTATACAAAACTATAATTTTGCCTGTGGTTCTGTATGGGTGTGAAACTTGGTCTCTGACATTAAGGGAGGAACATAGACTGAGGGTGTTTGAGAACAGGGTGTTGAGAATATTTGGACAAAAGAGAGATGAAGTCACAGGAGGTTGGAGAAAATTGCATAATGAGGAGCTTCATAACTTGTACTCTTCTCCAAGTATAATTAGAATGATCAAGTCAAGGAGGATGAGGTGGGCAGGTCATTTAGCACGAATGGGGGAGACAAGGAATGCGTATAGGATATTGGTGGGAAAGCCAGAAGGAAAGAGACCACAGGGAAGACCAAGGCGTAGGTTGGTGGACAGTATTAGAATGGATCTTAGAGAGATAGGAGAGGATGGTATGGATTGGATACATCTGGCTCAGGATAGGGACCAGTGGAGGGTTCTTGTGAACACGGTGATGAACCTTCGGGTTCCATAAAATGCTGGGTAATTCTTGAATAGCTGCAGAATTGGCGGCTCCTCAAGAAGGGCTCAGTTCCATGAGTAAGTAAGTAAGTTTGGGTTTAGTTTGTATTTTTTGAGGCCAGAAATATTATATGAAGAAGTGTTTTTGGGGACATTCTGACAAACTCTTTTGTCAGTTGCTGTCTTGCTTTGATTCAGATCTGAAGAAGGTGATGTACCTGCGGCTGCACTGCACAGTTTGCGATTGCCATATTGGGTGCACACCTGCAGCTGTCTCCTTGATGGCCTTCCATAAATTTCTTCGTGTACTTATATGCAGCGACTGTGAAAATTTCTATGGAAACGGGGATTTTGCATGTGGTGATGATGGCAGTGAGACATTCTGCCGTTGGTGTGGTCAGGGTGGGCAGCTCTACTGCTGTAGTCATTGTCCCAGTGTATTTTGTAAGGTCAGTGATGCAGAGTTTTATTTCAGTCCATTTGCTGCATAAATTAAGGATTTGTTGTCTGTGTAACTACAGTTGAGCGTGGAACACAGTCACATTTGCATGTTACATGTCTTATGAGATGTGACATAATGTAGTCTGACAGACCATTACCATTTGGGGGATCCTGCTTCCTCAATTTTCTGTCCTGAAGATGGAGGCAGCAGGTTCATCCAAAGTGTTGCTAATGATATGCCAGACTGCATGGTGTCACATTGCAGAAGCTAGTAATCTATATATTTGCTGCTATTAGAACGAATTTCTGAAGTCTGTCCATATCTCTGCGTCTCTGTGCTTGAAACAGTTCAAGAACTGTTGAATAGGTTTTCATGAGATCTTATATTCAGAAGTTTTACTAAAATCTGTTAACGCATTCCAGTTTTGGTATAGTCAGACAAAGATAATGGACAGTTCACATGAAGACCTACAAGCATTTCTGCATGTATCTCAAATTTAATGCCTGAATATTCATAGATTTTTGTAAACAGAAGCTGTAGAGAATATTAACCACATTTTATGTCTAGAATGTGTTTTTCCTGTAAGTGTTAATTTTTCAAGATGATGTAAATATGCACATTTCCTAACTGTTATATTCATCAATCAACAGTGATCTTCCGAACACATGCTGAGATTACAGAATCTTTTATTCTAGGCAACAGTTAAACAGAGTTTCCTTTCACTTGAATTGATAAGTCCCTGTGTAAATATATTGTGACCTGATGACTGAAAGCCAGAACAGCAGGTCAAGAAAATTTGTTCATTGCTAGGCAACAGCCAGTATACACATTTCCACAGCAACCTAAACATGCTCCTGCACCAATAATATGTGGGTCATCACTAGGAAACAGCCTGCTTAACATGTCACTCAGCAGTAGAGGAATTTTTGGAAGCACTGCTTTCAGTCCAGTTTGGAAATCAGAGGTTGGAGTCAGTGGTTAGAATATTGAGCTACAACTAATGAAGACATAGGAGACTGAGAAGATTCGGTGTTACAGTCCTGATTTGTAGAGCTCATAGATCAGTGAAGATGTTATAATTTTTAGTAGTTTTAAGTGTTCAGTAAATCCAATTATCAGTTCAAGCCCTGTGTCACGTCACTGACACATGACAATATATTTAATGGAAATATAGTTTCACATTATAACATCAATAAGTTACTGAGCTTGTCTAAATAGATTCTATTCCTGAAGTTTTTTGCAGCAGGTGTGTAATGTGTGTGTTCAGCTTTTCGGACGAAGACAAGAAAGGACACAGAGAGAGAGAGAGAGCATCTTCCCTCACCTGTTATCCTAAACATGGGATAACCAAAACATTTATGCCACGTCTTCAGGGCTGTGTGATTCCCAGAACATTTTTCATATCCTACTGTCATTAACCACATGGTCACTCAATGTTGATTAGTGTCTGGTTCCAGTGTTCATCCAGTCATGCCTTTTCCTTCCTCACATTGTCTTACACAGAAGTTATGTAAGAGCCACCAGGGCTCCTCCTAAAATCATTATCTCTGAAGATGGCACCTGTAGAGTCCTTCAAAACATTGGATAACTCAACATTCGACTCTGCCTAGCCCTGAAAGCCAAAGCTATATATTTTCGGGATAAATGCTTAAAATGCTTGAGTTTACCATAAGAAATATTTGAGCCTGAACGTTAATGCATGCATCTTTTATAATTCTGTATCCTGGACGCATCCGTTAAGTGTACACTCAGTACTCTATCAGTCTTTGTATATGAAGAACTAAGATGACGGACAAAGTTAAGAAACGTAGCCATAAACAAGAATTGTTGTGTATGTCACATGAAAATTTGTCCTAATTATCTTTATCTGCAACTTGTTTAACAGTGTCATAGGTTTGGATTATTAACAACATTCAGATTGTATGATTTCAGAAATGCATTCGTCGTAACTTAGGTAGGAAGACCGTGAAATTGATAGAAGAAAGTAATGAGTGGACGTGTTATCGGTGTAATGTACGTCCTCTATGGGAGCACCGTGCACTCTGCTGGGGTCTGAGCAGCTTTCTCAAAGAACAGAGGTTAATGTTATTACTTTATTGTAAAGAGCTTTATACAGTAAAACATTTACATAGCAATAATTATGGAGCGTATGAGATTTTGGATTTTGTTTTGTAGCTGTTCTTCACATAGATGTTATGGCCTGTGCGAGTATGATTGTCTATCACCAGAGTTATTCCATTCTGTGGATATCTTCATATTCTTGTTGCTTTTATTAAAACAACTCGTTTACAGCCATTAAGTAAACCATGAAGAAATAACACTAATGTGGAGCCTAATTAATCTGCAGAGATATTGGGTTTTCGGACTTTATCCATCATCCTGGTTTTAAGATAACTAAGAAAAACATGTCGTTTTGGAAACTGGATCTGTTTCCGTCCTCAGGTGAGGGAAAACACCTATTCTGTTGGGTCCCTTAGAAAGAGCTAGCCTCAATTACTGGACCAAGAGATATTGGGTTTTCGGACTTTATACATCATCCTGGTTTTAAGATAACTAACCCAATATCTCTGTGTGTTATACACCATTGTCAGAATCCTATAGTAACTACTAATTAATCTGGTGTTATTATTAAGCCATCTTCATATTTGAAGGAGAGAAAATACTGGTTTTTGATGGAGCGGGTGAGGGGGGGGGGCAGAAAATTGGTGGCTGTGCAGTAAGAGTTGTGTTTTATCTGTCGCAGGACCAATAAGGATAAAAAGGTGATGTGTTGCAACTAGAGAATTTGTAGACTCAAAAGGATTTGATGATGGTGTATAACACTTGGGATTACTGGGGTTTTGGGTTTTGTTCATTGTCCAGTATTGTAAGGAGCACATTTTGGAAACTGGCTCTGTCTCCATCTTTAAGTGAGGGGGTGGGAGACATCTCCTGTGTTGGGTCTGTTAGAAGGAGCAAACCTCAGTCATTTTTGACAAATGCAGCAAGTTCCACTTTGAGTCTTTGCCATAACACCAACAAACCTGATGTTTTCACAGGTTTTTTAATTTCTTCAGGCATGTACCAGGATAGTCTCTGAAATTAGGTTATTATGATTTCCTTCTGTATCTTTTCCAATTCCTTATTCATTGTCATCGAATCAGTCAGTACTGTAATGTCCTGAGTTACTGACTACATAATTATATAAATTTCAAATGAAGATGTTAAAATTCACAAGAATATTTCTGTCTCCGGATTGTCCTGGAGAATAAATTGAATTCTTTTCAATATCTGTTTTAGCGATGACAAGACCAAAGTAACTGAAGATGTGGCTCACCAGACTCCAGGTTTCAATTCGTTACTGTGCTGTGAGGGAGAGAAGCTTCCATATTACCGAACATCTCAGCCTTTGAGACCCATTGTGTGTTCTGTTGTAAGTAATACACTGAAAGTCAAGAATATACAGTCTCTCATGACCCCAAGCAACCAGAGGAATATACTGCATAATGCACTGACATCAGGTGCGAAAGCCTTGGAACCTACTGTGCCATCACCTGCTATCAAGACAAGTTCATATACTGCAGTTAATCCTGTGGGTAGTGTTTCCAGTTCCTCCCAGCCTGTTAATGTTGTAGCAAGCCTGGCCAAAAGTAATGATGAGCACTTGATGCTTTCTAAAAATCCCAACTCTTATAATGTTTCAGACTCTAAGGCACCAGATAAGCGAGATGGAGGCAAGTCAAACTCCACTATATTTGTTCCAAATAATCAGCTTAAACTCACTTATGAAAGCGTGTTCCTCAATCATCTGGCGCAGTCTGGTGCACAAAGTCAAACCCAGAACCAGAATCAAAGGTCTCGTCAGAACTCCGCTGTTCCAATAACAGCTCATGTCAGTGATCGTAGACCTGTGAATGTTGGGGCCTCTGTGCCATTGATGTATGTTCAGGCCCCTTCAGGCACAATATTAATGTCCTCTGCATCCATTTCCACTGCTGGTCCAACAGTGAATAAAGTCCGTATCAATCAGAGTAACACAAGCGAGAACCTTACATGCACAGTGCCTGCTTTGAATGTGGCTCCAGCACAGTGTATTCAACATGCTGTAATAACACCCATTCCTACCACCTGCTACGCGATTAGTGGAGGCTCAAATGTGATTCCAAAAGCGATCCCTATATCCAGTTTTTGTAACCCTCCTTCTCCAAGTTCTGGCCACACTCAGTTTACATGCCCACCTTGTCCAAATGTGAGTCCTCAGAAAAATATTGTAAGTGATGTACAAATGAAAGACATATCTATTATTGAAGGTGATGATGATGATATCTTTGTAGTGTTTAGCAAAGTTCAGAATTTAACCGATGAACAAAATGCTGGACACGAATGGATGATGAAAGCTCTGATGAAAACTGACCGCACTTCCAGAATACTTGCATACAACGTGGAAGTTCTCAAACAGACACTTATGCTTAGAAACAAGAAAAAAAAAATGAGCACTAAGAGTATAAGCCATCTTGCTGGAAAATTTTATCGGCTACTGAAGAAAGCATCTAAGAGTTTAAACTTTCAAAGAGAGTTTCTTTCAAAGGAATTTAGTGATTGGTTGAATGCAGAAAAGACAAAACGTGGGATCCCAACCACTAAAGAAAGAGAACCAAGTTCTTCACCAGCTAAAGATAAGACTCCTGATGCAGAAACCACTGAGGAACCAGAATTGCTTCTTGACATGGAAATCAGCTGTGAATCTGATCACGAAGATGTATCCAGCTCCGATAGTGGAGTTCAAAAAGAACAAATTGAATGCAATGAGAACCTTAGTGGCAGCGAGACTGACTCCGATGACCCTTTCACTGACTCTGAAAATAGCAACTGGAAAAATGTGTTGCAAGCAACTTCCAGGCCCTTTTTGTCACGCACAGTTAAGGAACTTCTGAGAGATAAATTTAGCAGCAAACTGCTACTTCAGCTACTTACAGAACAACATTCAAAAACAGCAGACCCTGAAAACAAACAGATTTCTTCTAGAAAAGAATTCCAGCTCAGTGATGCATCAACTGAGACAGCTGCTCTTGGGAAGGAGGACTTAACTACTGGGAAAAACAAGTGTAATGTCAGTACACGGAAACAGTGTGCATATACAGGTGTTCTGCCAGAGCAGATATCAGATTCTGGTACCTCCTCAGTACGTTCTGTTCAGATTGGTGTAGGGTCAGGTAATGAAAATGAAAAGCATGTTAGGATGGATTCTGTTGATCCGATCAGTGAAGCTATACAGAATTCATTAATGGAAAGTTCCTCGAGCAGAACAGATGACATGGCAGGGAGTGAAGGAAGCCATAGCCACAAAACTCCATGCCATAACGGTGGGACGTCACTTGACCCGATCAGTGAAGCTATACAGAATTCACTATTGGAAAGTTCCTCGAGCAGAACAGATGACATGGCAGGGAGTGAAGGAAGTAATAGCCACAAAACTCCATGCGATAACGGTGGGGCGTCACTTGACCCAATCAGTGAAGCTATAGAGAATTCACTATTGGAAAGTTCCTCGAGCAGAACAGATGACATGGCAGGGAGTGAAGGAAGTAATAGCCACAAAACTCCATGCAATAACAGTGGGACGTCACTTAATCCAATCAGTGAAGGTATACAGGATTCACTAATGGAAGGTTCCTCGAGCAGAAGAGATGAGAGCAGGAGTGAAGAAAGTCTCAGAGAAGAAATTCCATGCAATGACAGTGGGATGAATTCTGTTGACATAATATGTGAACCTCTACAAAATTCACCAAAGGACACTTCTACCAACAGAACAGACAAGAAGAAATGGAGTGAAGAAAGTTGCAGGAGTAAAACTCCATGCAGCAACAGTGGGACATCATCTGTTGATCCAATCAGTGAATCTATACAAAATTCACCTGCGAAGAGTTTCCATAGCAGTTCAGATGATAAGACTGAAATTGAAGAAAGTCAGAACAAAACTCCACATAATAATGGCAAAACAGAGTCTGGCAGTCCAATCAGTGAAGGAATACAAATTTCACTAATGAACTGCTCTCCCAGAATAGACAATAAGTCCAGTAATGAAGGAAGTCATGGGGAGAAAAATCTGCGCATCAGTAATGGAATGGCATCCGTTGATCGAATCACTGAAACTATACAAAGTTCTTCAGTGGAAATCTCCCCTAGCGGAACAGATGACAATACCAAGAATGAAAAAACTCCATGCACTAACGGTGAAACAGAGCCTGTAGATGCAGTCAGTGAAGCTGTTCACAATTCACTAATGGAAAGTTACCCTGCCAGACAAGACAACAAAACTGGGAATGAAGAACGTGGAAGGGGTGAAACTCCATGTGAGTACAGTAGTATTGGTACTGCCCAAAATTTTGTCACACATGCAGAAACTAATAAAATTCATACGAGTAAACCCCTCCAGAAGAGAACTGCTTCAAAACGTAGCTGCAGTGCTGTGAACAGAAAGAGGAAATACCAGTGTATATCAAGTAATGATATGTCTTCTGACGGTAAGGAAAACTCTTGTGGTTCTGGAAGGAGACCTGCAAAGACAGTTCGAACAGATAGTCCAAGTACCGATCCTAGCCCCTCATCTGTGGTAGTTCCAATTATTAAATTAGAGAAGACTGAAATACCAGTTAATGATTTTACAGCTTTGGTTCATTCTGCTGTGCAGAAAAAACTTATTAAACCCTGCTTTGTCTCGGTTGTGAAGCTCACCAGAAACAACTAATGCAGATGATCACCATACACCATACAAGTTAGAATTAACTTTTTCAAATACTGAGGTTTCTGTTGGTCTTCTGGAAAGAAGGAACTGTTTATGTCCGTGAGTGTTGTACAGTCAAGTTAACTGTGATCATATGTTTGGGATATGCAAGAACTTTTTTCTACGTCCTTTGTTATATTTATGTACCTATGCAATTGTTATATAAAGTTCTTTGAATATTATTAAATATATGTTTAGCTAATGTTTCAGTTATATGTGGTAGAGTTAGAAAGATTGTGAACTTTTCTCTGTGTGAGGTAACATGTCTTCATGATAGCTTTGTTCATTTTTCACTGTCTCACATTTCTGCCAACAGTCGTGTCACTGTAGGATTTCAGGTATTAATACTGGTGGTTATGAAGAGTCATATATTTTGGGATATAGCGGTGTGTGGTCTTTAGAAAGTCAGCAACATGTAGTGCAGTCATAACACACACCACCTACCACAGTCTTTGTTTACTATTTGAATCATAAAATAACAGAATTCATCAAACTGAAAAGACCAATGCCATTCATCTCTCTCACTCCACTGAGTGCGGGCATCAAAATAAATGTCAGCCCTTTCCCCCTGCCCCTACTCCCATACATACATGTTCTAACATGAAAACTTACACAGGTACTATGTAATTTGGTGGCTATTATAAAGGTTCATAAACTTTTTGACTCTACCTTTTTTTTTTATATGTTATTAACTTCAAATGTTAATGTGTACGTACATATTCAGTTCAGCATAGGAGTTTAATCCACAATGTCTTTCTGTCCTTAATTTTAAATTTGCTTGACTTGGCTCATCTTGGTCCGTCACGCTAGCCGTAGTATAAAATAATTCAGAGGACTGTCCAGTGTGACTAATTAATAAAGGTTATATTTCATTATTTAATTTTAACATGTTTTGGTCTGATCGACCATCTTCAGAAGGACTTGATCAACATTTAGGAAACCACTATTACAATGTCATTAATATAAAAATGTTATACCTTATAACTACATTAAGTACTTAAAGTAGTTGGAACATTTATAAGTTATTAAAACTAATTTACATAATCAAGTATTTAAAAAGTTATAACAACTTTTTGTTAAAACCGGAACCAGTGATTCATGTCTTGAAATTTCTTCTCGTTAAAGGAAGAAGATTGTCTATCACGGTGTGTTCCCAGTGACTTTAGTATCTTGGTCCCATTGTATGGTGTACTTTGTGTTGATGTTGGTCAGGTCCTTCTGAAGATGGTCAGTCTGACCAAAACATGTTAAGGAAAATGAAATACAATCTTTATTAATTACTCACACTGGACAGTCCTGTGAATAATTTTATAAAATATATAGACAGTTCACCGGTTATCATCTAATGGTGTGTTACACTTGTATTTATTACTGTAACTTACTTACTTACTCATGGTGCTGAGCCCTTTTGGAGGAGCTGCCAATTCTGCAGCTACTCAAGAATTTCCCAGCATTTTATGGAACCTGAAGGTTCATTACCATGTTCGTAAGAGCCCTCCACTGGTCCCTATCCTGAGCCAGACCAGTCCAATCCATATCATCCCATCCTGTCTCTGTAAGATCCCTTTTAATATTGTCCATACACCTATGCCATGGTCTTCCCAGTGGTCTCTCTTTCTTTCTGGCTTTCCCACCAATATCCTATACGCATTCCTCGTCTCCCCCATTTGTGGTACATTTTATTACTGTAACATAGATGTCAAAACAGAACAAAGTATAATGGACAAACCTGTGTGTGAAGATCACTGTCTTCTGGGTTATAATGTGCAGTTTGGAGAGAGCTTGATGTTTTAGAGGGATATGTCTCCTCTACCTTCAGGGTCAAGGAGTGAGCCAAGCAAGAAGCTAGTTGAACCCCAATTTGCTGCCTGCTTCTGCTGGCTTCATGCTTGGCTCACTCTTCATATCTGAAGATGCAGGTGATATGGGTTAGTGACTAGACACAGGGTTTGGAATGATTAGACAGCGTCATCCCGAACAGTTCCTGTACCATTGCTGCAAAAATGTCTTTTAACAAGCTGCAAATGCTGCCACTATGCCATATTATGATAATTATCCCTCCATTTTGGACATCATGCAGTCTTTATTCTTTATTGAATCAGTCTTGCGTTGTAGACATTCGAGTGTTTCCAATTTACAGCTGTGTGTTTTCCCCACCATGGCCCTGTAGAGGGCAGTCTTTCCTCATTGTGCTTCTGTATTTGATGGTCTTCAGCCCTCATAACAGGTACCTCCCTTTGGGGTTGAACCAGCGTTCTTACATGCTCCAGCTCAATGGGCAGCCCTCGACCTGGTCCTGCTAGGCTATCTACCACCTCCAGGGGACCTTCCATCCATGCCTTCCACACTGAGTTGAGACCTCAAGAAAAACCAGGCTATCTCCAAATTACACAGCATAAAGATTGAACTCTTTGTAGTCATTGCTGTGAGAACCTCAAATCAAACCTCTGTTTCTCTGGATACTCATCAGACCAATTGAGGCACTTCTCCCAATAGGGGCTCTGTGTTTTCACTCACCAGCGCACTTCATATCATCACATCAGAAGTATTTCCCTCTGAAGTGTTTCCTGAGCCCTCCGTAGAAGTGGAAGTCTCTAGGTGCAAGGTATGGACTGAACAAGGCATTCTGAGCAGTCTCTGCGGTTGTTGATGGCATTTGGGATGGAAGGGGCATCCTTCTTCTTCACTTCCTAGACCACAGATCAGTGGTGAATGTAGACCGCTACTGCGCAACACTGCAGCACTTGAAGGACGCGAAAATGAGTCTTAATTCCTTTGCTGTTGGAAACAAACAGGTTCGTTATTGCTGGGGTGTCTTGATCACCTTGACAATTATGTGGAGAGATAGAGGTTTGCCCATTGTTCATAATTTTCTTTGATATCAGTGTTGATAATAAATATAACACACCCTTATTTACCTCCTGGCTATATATGCGCTTTTGAAGTTTGTTTCATATCGTAACATATGATTAATCATTCAAGACCCATGTATTTGACTTCATTCCTCCCCAGGCCCAGGTTATTTTGTTTCAGTTTTGAAGTTGTTGGCCCTGATGTTTGTTTTAAAGACACAAAGATTTCAGTTTTCCAATGAAAATAGTCTTGGGCCATGGCCATATTGAAGTTGAATTAAACTGCAGTGTTGTGTGCTTCCATCATCATAAGGGTTGATGATATTGTCCCCGATGATTGAGACATAGCAGGTCTCTGAAATCTTGATTTTTAACTCATCTTTGACGCATTCAGTATCCTAAGATCTTAGTGCATTTGCCATGGAAGTGTCAGATTTTGCAGAAATTTTGGGGCTGCGCCATAGCTCAAGCGGTTAGTCGCTGGCTTCCCACTGTGGCGGCCCAAGTTCAATCCCGGGTCTGGTCAAGTGGGATTTGTGGTGGGCAAAGTGGCGCTGGGGGCGGGTTTTCTCTGAGTACTTCGGTTTCCCCTGTCAATCTTCATTCCACCAAATTCTCCATCATAATTACCCAGAGCAGGCTACAGTAGACCGATCAGTAGCTGCCGAGCCGAGTGGACCCAGTTGGACTCCACCCCACACTAAGCGAATTTAAAAATTGTTTTGCACAAATTTCAGTGCATTTTTCTTATCATTTCTTATGTTTAATCGCTTGGAAGCAACCTGTCATGTATGAATTCCCAAATACTGGATTGGGTCCATTGAAGAATCTGAAACAGCTTACTGATGAGTGACTTGTGTAAAGGAAGAAAATACTCGTGTATTACGTATATGGACATGTATTAAAAGGTTTGTCCAGTGGAAGGTGAAGGTGCAGTGAATAATTTTTATTCCTGAAGGCTTAGTATTCCAATTATACAAACCTCCACCAATAAAATGTCTGTGTAAGGTAAAGAACAAAACAGAATTAATTTTCAACATATCTGTATATTCCTGTGAATACAAACTGTGAAATTGGTATTATATTTTAAGTCTTATAAAAATTATTTGCATGTTGTTTTGAAAGGACATCCTAAACTCTTTTATGTGATCATATTTCTTTAACAACAACTTAAACTAAAAGAATATGTATTTAAGGTATCTTTTCTGCCAATAATTGAAGTTTATAAGTTTGATTTGTTTCATTCTGGTCCGTCACAATAACAATTACAAATTATAAATCACTCTGTCCAATGTGACCTGTAAGTTTTTTACTACATAAAAACTTAACACCCTTACATGTTTTGGTCTCTGTGGACCATCTTCAGAGGGTAAACATCACTACAAATAGGACACCACTATCACATAATTTGTTTACACGCAAAGTACGTACACTTATATGTTACAGCACACAGTACACAGAATAGAACATTTCACAAACACAGCAGTTTCCTGGGAATGTAAGTTTAAAAAAAAAATTATAAAATTCCTTGATGCTAATTAAAAGTTTTTTAGATTGTCAGTAATTAAAATTCGTAAACCATGCAGGCTCGTGTTCGTCCTCCCATCGTCTCCCTTATATGGGGCAGATATTGTGCCACCTGGCTATCTTGATGTTGAGGTTCTTTATATCGTCCAGGGTTTGCTCATGGCTGCTGTTCTATTCTGTGTACTGTGTGCTGTAACATATAAGTGTATGTACTTTGCATGTAAACAAATTATGTGATAGTGGTTTCCTATTTGTAGTGATGTTTACCCTCTGAAGATGGTCCACAGAGACCGAAACATGTAAGGGTGTTAAGTTTTTATGTAGTAAAAAACTTACAGGTCACATTGGACGGAGTGATTTATAATTTGAAGTTTATAAAATTGCATATATTACTGTAGTCATTAGAAATGTATTTAATGTGTTGCAAAATGTTCATCTTTTGTGTGTGCTGTATACAGTTTCACAAAAATGTTGCTTACATAATTTTAACACAAACATGGATCTCCTTACCCTTATCTCCATCCCGTTGTCTGTCTTAAGTTTTCTGACATTATTAGCTGCCTATTCTGGTCAACAGCACCAAGTTTTGTGCCACCTGTTTAATGAAATTGCCATTACATTATGATGGGGTGCTGAGTCTTGTGTATCTTCACTTTCTCAAGCTATTCTGCTAGCAAAGATGGTACAATGTTGTAATAAGTTTGTGTTACAAACGCGCTTCTGTGTTACACTTGTGATCTTCTTGGATGTGGCACCATGTAGTCTGGTAGAGAGGTACCAACATCTTCAACATGTTCAGGGTTCATGGAAACAGAAGGTTCTT